CTGGATGTCCAACAGCTAAAACGAACACTCAGTAGAGAAGTTATGCCATCACCCTCGGCACTAAACAGCCAATCAATGGACTTGAGTCTTTATGGGTTTTACAAGAAACCCCCAAACAATAAAAGTCACACCAACTATGTGACTATGAAAATGGGAAGATGCTCTCTTAGACCAGATTTTTAAATTATGTGAAGTACACTTTAGGGCACTCACCAAAGGGAAAGTGTATGCAATTAATACACAATGATCACTTAGGTTATAAGACCTTTATACAGTTATCTAATTTAATCCTCACCAATCCTCAGGCAGGTGTTACACTGAATTACAGGTGACAAATTGAGGTTCAAAGAATTTAAGCAGCTTGTTCACTGAAGGTTGTGGAGACAGCAAGAGCAGATTCCATAACATCTCCTTCAAGGACATCTCAATTTCAGTGGAAGAAATAAGAATAGACTGAGGATAAGCAAGGCACAGGGGTGTTCAGAAGTTAGGCATGATCCTCAGCTAATGCCATTATTTCCCCAAGCTTTGGCAGCATGTTTATATGGATTTTAAAAAACTTCCAAGGTTGATTAAGTCAGGAAATGCTTGGGATAAACAGGTTTCTTTTTTTGTAGGATTTCTGACTTTTAAAAGTGATACTGTGGATTATAGATGCCCAAGAGGAGAATATGTAAGGAGTGGGTTTTGTTTTGAGATCACTTCTGTCCCTTAGAATATACTTTAGAAAAAGCTGGGGTAAAACTTTTAAGTCCTTGAAATTAGATTCAGGAAGAAAGAGGAGTCTTGTACTTAGGGACACATTAGATGGTCTTCCCCCAACTTCCACTCGGGGTTTCACATATTTAAACCCTGAAGTAAATTAATTTGACTTTGGCATTTGAGGGGATTGCATGACTTGGATCATCATAAAACAAAAGAAGGACTGCAAATCCGCAGATAGAAGCATGAAACACGGTGACTGGTGATGGGCATGGGTACATATGGTGGTCTGTGGGACTTAAGAACAAAAGAGCCCTAAATAAAGTCTCCTTGTATAGCTTCAGTCAATTCCTGAACTTCCAAGGGCTGATCGTGTAAGCTCGGATCACCAGGTGCCAGGCTACGACTCTGGGTTTTCCCCCTGCACTTGGGAATGCACAAGCACCCTTGTGTGCAAAGGAGCGGGAGAGGCACCGGGTTAGTCACACTGCAGAGCTGGACACTGCAGACCAGCTGCCCAGCGCATGTTCTAGACTCACACGCATGTGGGTCAGGCCACACGGTGACGTGGCTGAGTTCTTTCAGTCCAGACCCCTTCTTACCAGACCCTGGTTCCCACAGCTAGAGCCTCACTTCATCTCTTAGTCAACAAAATATACATACTCAGTGTTCTCAATGCATAAACACTGGATTTGGAAGATGAGTTTATTTCTATAATTATCTGACAAGAACGACCAGAACAGAACTGAATCAGGGTCTTTGCTCATGAATGACCCTTCAGCACCTGAACAGAGCTTGGCACACAGCACATGCTCAATGCATTTCTGCTGAATTACTGAATAGTGTGACATCTTAGCAGGTTATTTACTATCCCCGAAAATATGCACTGGCAGTTTTAAAAGCTCGTTTGACTCTGAGGGTCTTTGAGGGAGATGATGGGGGTGGCAGAGCGCAAACCGATCAGGCAGCTACACTCGGTGTCCCAGGTAAGAAAGTGAAACAAAACTCAGCGAGAAGAAAATGGACTATTTGATTGGTCACTTTGGCTCATTTATAATACTTTCTTTGCTTCCTTGAAGGTGAACAGATAATGGGAATTTGTACATGGTGTTTGATAAAAAATGAAGTATTTCCAACAGTTGGTAAATGAATGATTTCAGGGCGAAAGCCATCTTCTTTTCGTAAAAGAGGTAGTTAATAGCTTACATTCTGCATCATCACACTGTTCATAACCCCTTTAAAAAATCATTCTCTATTATAATTTTTAAAAAACCACCTAACTAGTTTTTGAATAAGTCACATTCACCAACAAAAACTGATTCTATATCATTCTTGATCTTAAAACATTTGAGTAATTATTTCTGCACACATGCCACCCAGTAATATCCTTTGTGACATTAAAAAATTCAAATACCAACACATTCAACTTTATAGCACCATTCCAAAATACTAAACTTTCTTTGCACCTTTATTTTAATCTTTTTTTTTGTTTGTACACATTTAAAGTATGGGCATCCTGTAAATTTCTGAAAAGCCTCATAGGAAAAAAAACAACTAATTTTTAGGACAAAGCAATAACTCAGTTTGTAGGCAAGATGATGTCAGGCAGGCTGTAAGTTCTTCATGGGCTTCTGTAGTCTTCATTCTGGGGTGAGAATGTAGAAAGGATGCTAAAATCTTCCTGGATTATTCTAGAGATTACATCGCGTTATCAGTATGTAAAATCTTGTTGCTCAGTGGTCAGACTCTAGATATTGATTACAACTCAAACCATGACAACAACAGTCTCTTGTAATATTTCACTCTTTTGATTGACAAACTTCAAAGTTTGTATACACCTTTTATTCATACTCTGTAAGAGAGGAATTAGAATAATATTGAATTCCCTCTTACAAATCTCCAAATTTGAAGCTTGGAGCACTAGAATCTGTTCTTAGCAAGCAGATAAATTTAAAGTATAAATGGGTTTTAAATTCAACATAAATTTGGCTGCATTATTATATAAGAAGACTGACTAATGTGGGAGTTGACAGATGATGAGAATGCTTGCAGGAAAAAAACCTTTTCTTGTGACACGAGAGTCCCATTCCACCCTCTCATTGTAACCAAGCGCTCTCGTCTAACTCTTCCATGTATTACTGTGAATAATGGGCACCCAGACAACAGGTCTGGCGAATAAACTTGGAAGTTTTGAGTCTGCTGAGATTGGCAGGGTGGTGTGAAGAGGTAGAGTCAGAAGGGTGTCCGCTAACGGTTTAACTCTGCAGCAGTTTCAAAGAAATTGATTGTTACACAAGAACAGTCAATGACCCAGGAAGAAATTAAGTTTAAACTAGAAGTGACTAGTAATCAAAAGCTACTGTGCACCAGGATAGGAAGGAATATGAGAATATTAATATGCCCTGAAATAGAAATAATCACTTTGCACTATGTACACCACATACAATATAACATATTCTTTTTAACATTGCACAATATAAATATTATACAAGGTGGAGTAAACTAAATGCAAAATAACTTTGAGGCACACAGGAAAAACACGGAATAGATTGAACTCTGATCGAAATTAGGATGGGGTTAGAAAAAGGCAGGGTGTTACACTGTCAGGCCAGTGATCTCACCTCACGGGCTGGCAGCCACCGCCCCCAGACACTGAAAATTTTCATACCACCACGTTGTCAGAGTTGACTGCTTCAAACAAAGGCCAGTTATTTAAATCCTTTGAGAAAATCAAACTCTTGCTCCCCACTCTAAAGTAGGTAACCCTTAAAGGCCCCTCCCGACCTCAGGGTTTCATAACGAGGGGCTATGTTAGTACATGGTTGTTTCCCCCCTTTTTCTTGTTACTTGGTTACTATGAAACCATTTTAAGGGAACTAGAACAGTATTCAAGAACACCCATCACAGTGCTTAACAAGATTTAATGTACATTTATTCTTAACATGTGGAACATATAAAGATTTTATACTGAATAAATGATATTCATTAAGCCAGAGGAAAAGGAGGAATTTACATCAAGTTTTTTTGTTTTTTTTTTTTTAACTACATTATCTTGAAATACAAATGTGGATTCTTGTCACTGAAAAAATTTTGAAGTTGTGTTTCTTCCTTTTAGTTGTATTTTTTTTTTGTCTGTACTAGTAACCATTGTGTAAATCAATCCATATGCAACCATTTCCACACCTTGATTCATGAAGCAAATTGTGATCAGCTGCTCTCCCGAAATAGAGCATGACTTTATACATACAGAAACTTGTACATTACCCTCTTTTTTTTGTTTTTTTTTTTTCGTTTTTGTTTTTTGTTATTTTTTCTTTTTTTTGGAGATATGGCCCTAATGAAAAAATATATAAAATAAAAATAAAAAATTATTTAAATCTACCATCACTTCGTAGTTACCACATCATGAAAAAGAAACTAAAAACTTTTTACTAAAAAAAAAAAAGAAAGAAAAAAAATGAGGGTATGTTTAATGTACAACTTCTATATACATCACAGCCCAAAGGCAGTAAAAAAAAAATATTAAAAAAAAATGATTAAAGGAATTGTGAAGAACTGTCATGTGGAAGGTCAAACGACAGACAGCAGACATGACGGTAGTGGTGAGGAAGCAATTTCCGTTGATCGTTTTCAGGTATATTTTCAATCTTAACTTAAAAATGACCATTTTGCTCCTAGCCTAATGTAACCATTTTCCTGTGGAGAAACCAGAATCATTTCCTATTTCAACCGCTGACTGACAGAACTTTGCGAGCCCCTATACCTACATCTCTAGAAATTTCTATTGCACAGAGCTTTGGACGATGGGATACAGGTGCAATTTTTTCATTATTTGAAGAGTAACACAGCTAGGAAATCGATAAGTTTCCGCCTTTTTGTCTCAGTGTGGTGAAATTTTCCCATCTTATAGCATCTTTTGCTGTTAACTTTTTTCTTTGAAGTCAATTTGCTTCCCAAAAAAATGTAATACGACATGGAAAAGGACATTAAAAAGAAAATCTGAAAAACAGAAAGTGACCTTTGAATGCACTAGACAGCAACTTTGGTTAAAAAAAAAACAAAAAACAAAATAAAAAAAACCCCAAAAGGATGTACTTGTACACACAGACAGCAAATATTAATTTTATAACTGTTCAAATTAATTATCTCTTTAATTCCCAATTGGTAAATAGTGGATGGGGCAGAGGAGCAAAGATTTTCTTTCCTTCGTCCTACGCTGGAGAAACAAGAACAGAACACAGCCAGTTACACGGGAGCCTCTATAGTCTTCACTCACACAGGCTGCCTTCTCACTGATGTCATAACTGCCCGATCTGAAACAGTACATCGCAGATGACAGATGCCACCAGAGAGTTCAGAACGGCTGATATCGAGATATCCAGCAATCGGCCCTCGTGCAGAAGGAACTCGGAGCGGTTCTCGTCCACTCTGGCCATGGCCAGCAGAGCCTTGGCTGCCCTGCACATCATGTCCACGCTAGGGGGCTCTAGGGGCGGGGGCTGCATGTGCATGAGGTTGTGCTGGCTCTGCTGATACTGGGCCATCGTGACCCCATCCTCTAGGAAGCTTATCAAGTTTCCGATGCTTCCCTTCTGCACAGCTATGGCCCTTGCAGCCAGCGCATCCCCTTGGGCAAGGTTCGATAAAAGAGCCATGGACATTTCTCGACAGACTGGGTTTTTGCGATCCCCAACGTACCTAACTAACGTGGCATAGAATTTCTCCTGACGACTAAATGGAGGCGTGGCCAAGATCAGGTCCACATTGTTGTCCTGGATGCTGAGTTTACAGAGCGTCTCCAGCACGAGTCTCTGAGGCGACAGGACAGAGTTGGGTCCCACTGTGGGAAAGGGGTCTTGTGCCTCCGCTGATGGGCACACCATCCAGTGCAGCAAGCCATCCAAAATTGGCAAGCAGATGCTTTCCGTGTAAGCAGACAAGTCTAGCTGCCCAGAAATGTTGGCCAAGGTGACCAATGTGTTATCCCTTAAGACCTCGAGGCAGTCCCACCACCACTCATCTTTGCTGCAGGCCACCCCTTTGTCCTCGTCTTCCTCCTTCTCGTAGGTCTGCGGCGCTCGTTTTCTCTCGGGATGCTCGTGGTGAAGAAGAATCAGCTTCCCCAGGATCAGCACCAGGCCTGGGTGTTTGGACATTTCTGCATCATTCCCAGGCACAAAAGACAAGCTCCGGACGATATTGGACACGCAGATGCAGCGCTTGGCCAGCGAGTCCTGCCAGTGCGCGATGGTGCAGAGCGGGGCCTCGTCCCGGCTCCTCGGCTCGTCCTCCAGCAGCTTGATATTGCGGTGACTTTTGGCTTGATGGATTCCGAAAGGAAACTTGCTGCTTTCGGTCTGGGTACCAGGGTTTGTGTCTTCAGGCAGAGCCCCTGGCCGCGCAGACAGAACATCATCGATGGTTGCGATGATGCTTTTCTCTTGGTGCTCGTCAGAATCCCCTTTGCCTTCCTGGTCTTTCTTTCTGCCTGTGGAGCTCAAAGCGGGAGGCGGCCGCCTGCGAGGAGGAATCTCCATCTTGCTCTCGAAGTGAGTCTGGATGTGCTCGGTGGTGTCCCCCCCGCCGAGCTGCCAGTGCAGAAGTCCACTGCTGAACTCCTGGACGCGACCCAGCTTGTCAGAGCGGTCGACGACAAACAGGTTGTTCTTTTTGACTATCTTGATTGGCAGCTTGTCAAATTTACTGGCTTGCCTGGGCTTCTCCTTTGGATCTGCGGTGGCGTCAGGGGAGGCCCCAGTGCTGCTCCTGTCCTCCGTCTCCACCCTCCCGCTGTCTTCCTCCTCCTCATCCTCCTCATCTTCCTCCTCCTCAATACATTCAGCATCTTCTTCCTCTCTCCCAGAATCATCGGCCAAGGACTGGCTGTCGTCTCTCTTTGTTGCATTGTGATCAAGTGCTTTCTGGCTGGGGTCTCCCACTTCATATTCCATAAGAATTCCAAAAATGTCAATCAGGCATTTCCTGAAGTACTCTACTAAAAGTTCAAGAAATCCGGACAACTGGAGAGGATGAAAAAGAGAAGAGGTACAATGTCATAACCTCTCTGGTGTGACTGAGAGGGTGAAAATCCTGCTAGCTAGCCATGCATATTGTTATTTTCACATTTTAATGTTTTTTTTTTTTTTTGGTAGGCCAAGAAAAAGAAACCATGTATAAGAAAAAGAAACCATGTACAAGTTAGAACTACCTTCCTGAATTTTTCAATAATCAACACTATCTTTCTTACCTGGTGTTTACTTTCCTACACCATTAACATGAAAATTTACTTGTTACTTTCCCATTTCTGATACTATCCCAGAGGGAGTGCTCTGCTGTTTACCTTTGTTTCTGGTTTAGACACAATACCATTCTTACTAGAAGAGTGGGAACGTGGATTTTATAGACTCATTCACCCAAAGTGAGTCTGTTCTCCTCTCTTATTTATCTGAAACTCTGCTTGCCTAGATTTTTATGGCTATTATTCTTAGGATTTTATGGTTATTTTTGTCTTAGGTGCCATAGGTTATTCTAATTTACATTCTCCATATATTTTGGGGAGAAGATAATTTCAGCAACGTAGTAGCTCATAAACACACAAAATTACAAACAAATCAATTTAGTCCCTGAGATAAATGAATGAGAATGTTTCACAGAATGCACTTTTATATTTCAGCTATTCCCAACTCCAGCTGAAAGACAAAAGCAACTCTGAGAACCAGCTTTTTTTCCTTAAAGCGGATGTTTATGTCAAGAGAACCAAGATACTCCCCTCCCTCAACACCAATGCTGCTGCATTTAGGGATGATGAAGGATAAGTAAGTAAACAAGGATTTCTTAATGATAGGTGTTATGGAAATTGACTATAATTTCATTATCTGGCTGTAAGTGTCCTGCAAGGGGGTTTTAAATAATTACAAAGAAGTAAGGGGACACCCAAGTACCAGCCAGGTGGAGCTTGATTTTAGGGTACAAAGGCACAGTTTTTTAAGTGGGGGTCTGGACATCACCCCCTCCCCCACCTCACCCCCAACGTAAAGCTTAGTTTTTTCCCAGGACAAGGGAAGAGGGAAGATTGCTGAAGCAATGCTGGTTATGAAAAACTGTGCTCAATAGCAGCTCACCTAGCATAAGGATGGAAATTTATTACTCTAGCAAAGGTAGTATATGTTCTAATACTTATTTATTAAAATGGACTTCATTCGATGTTTATGACCTTATTAATATACTTGGTATCAACTGAAAAACTGCCTTTCAGGGCTAAAATGACAAGTTAAAGGAGATAAGAAAAAGGAAGTGGAAGATTCTGGTCCTAGTTCAACAGAAGGGAGGAAATTAGATGTTTTGGCTTTTTTCAACAAAAGCAGAGTTGTTCATACACAGTAGGGAAAATGGCCTTTTCTGATTTTGTTCCTAAATATTTCTTAAAAAAATCTGTAGTCCAGCTGGCTCTTGGGCCTTTTTCCTAATCCTCAGCTCCTTCTCTCTTCCAGCTATTATGCTAGAAGCTACTTCGAGCTTAGCACAGATCAAAGGAGGGTTTTTAAAGGTAGGAGGCTTTTAAATGACTGCTTCAAAATCAACTGGGGGGAGGGCAGAAATGGGAGGGAACACATCAAGAACAAGTTTGACCATGACTTCATTACTACTGCAGTTGAACGATGGTACACGGGTTCATTAAACTGTTTACTTCTCCCTTTATATACATATTTTCTGTAATATAAACACTCTTTTTAAATTTTATACTTTTTTAATTAAAAGAAAGATGTTAGGTCCCCCTGAAAAACAGGGTAAGGTCTCACTGCAACTTACTGCATGGTGATGTCTCATCCAACACTGACTACAGCCATAACTTTGTGTTACGCTTGCATTAATTCTCACTGGCCTGCTAATGCTCATTCTTAAACAAATTTGATTTTGCCACTGTTGTCTATTCCATGCACACACATGCATGTGCACACAAGGTCACTGTTTTCTTATGAGAAATACACATGTGTATTTATACTAAAGACTGAAATAAATTATTGTTCCAGACAAAATTCTCAGACAACTATACACTGATTGATGTTGGTTCATAGTTAACTGTAATGATAAAAAAATTTTAGCCGGTGAGTCCTAACTGCTTTAGGCATTAGCTTAAGCATTATACACTACTTCATTTTCTTACTCTAATTTGGTTCTCAGTTGGACTGGTGCTGGCTTACCTGGGAGAGATTGAAAGTAGCAACAGTGCTGTCATCATATAGAAGAATATTAATAGTGTCCAAAGCCCAAGTACTTTCAGCCAAAAGACCTGACTTAAGGGACATCATCACACGCCAGGCCTCTGGAGTAACTAAAAATGGGTGGAAGAAGAAGGACATGATTAATATTAACTCTACGCATGAAAGAATAGAAAATAACAAAAGAAGAAGAAAAAGCAGAATGTTAAGTTAAATACTGATTTAAACAAAGGTTCTGAGGGACCGTTAAACATGGTCATTTCAGGTGGAGGTTGACAACTGACTAAGAAACGTCTATGCAAAGCAGAAGAGCTTTCTGCTTTGCAGGTTAAACAGAGGTGGGAATGATTCTTTCTGTATTTGTCTTCTTTGACTCCATTCACAGATGTGTCAAGGTAGCATCTTCCAAAGGCTGGTGAGTATGCAGAATATAAGCAAAATTTAATTCCCAAACAGCATGCTCACTGATAGAAAGCTTTCATTCCTCCATGCAGTCTCTGTCTGAGCTCTGGACCACAGAGCATGCTGTTGACAAGTACTAACATTTTGACAGTTCTGGTTTTTTAGGAGCTTGGCCTGAGATGGATGGCCAAGAAGAACGATGAGAGGAAAGGTATGTAAGATTTGTCGCAAGATGGGGCTAGAGGGGAGGCCCGTTGTGTGTCTGTAATTTTAAGGGACGCTGTCTCAGGAAACTGGTGGAAGCACATGGTGTGAGCAGCTGAACTCCCCACAGCAGCAGCCAGGCCAGATGCCAACTCCTGTGCGGGAGGTGCCGTGGGTGTCCACCTTTAATTTCATCTCATTTTCAAATTTTCTAAGAGAGGCACATAATGCTTGTGTAATAGAAAGGCAAATTTTCATTTTAAAATCAGGAACATAAGTTTCCCTAGGCTGGTATAACATGCACTAAGAATTTTTTTTCAAATTTAAATGTATTTATTTACTTAAATTGGAGAAGGAAATGGCAGCTCACTCCAATATTCTTGCCTGAAAAATCCCATGGACAGAGGAGCCTGGTAGGCTATATAGTCCACGGGGTCACAAAGAGTCAGACATGACTGAGTGACTAATACACAGACACACGTTTACTTAAATATCTATACACATGCACAAATACATGCATATATTTTTACATATATATTACCATATGAAACACGGTGCCCAGGGTCTGTTTCTTTCTTGTCTCCAGCACATCCTCTATGTAGAACTCCTTACTTCCCCCAACCCCCTTCCTTAATGTCCAGTGATTAAAAACATTGGTCAAATCTTTAAAACATTTAATTTTCTAATCATTGCAAAGCACTTCGAGTCACGTGATTTTGAGATTTTTGGGAGGAAAAGTTTGGATAAAACTGAACTCTATTTTAGCTGTGTTAAAAGTACTTAAAAAATGATGCAGAAAAACTGTGTGTACTCCCAGATTTTCCAAATCTCTAATTAGGATTTAGAAGATTCCACCCGGATGAACACATGACATCAGTGTTCACCCAAAAGAGTTCTTTGGTCCCATCAACAGTGCTGCAGGGATCACCTAAATTCTATCCACGTGTGAAGTTCTATATAACACATTATGTATCTGTCTATGCAGTACAGTCAGTTTTCTGGTTTTGTTCCTGGGGGAACTCACTGTCTGTATGTCCTTGCCAAAATTATAGAGTGGCTTGCTGTCAAATTTTCTCAGGCCACTCTAATGTTCCATTAGTCTTGCAGCTGTTCTCTTAAGCACACATGGCAAAGATTATGTGTTTGGTTAAGATCAAATCTTTAAGCCCAAAATACAGTCCACAGTCATCGAGGAGTCCCTGTCTCTCACCTGGGGCTCCGCCCTCTCACACCGCCCTCTCACACAAGTCATACTCACATGCAAAAAATCCATTTTAATTCTCCCTCTCCTCTGGAGCTTAATTCAGAGGAGTGCCTTCCAACCATTGCTCCTGCACAAAAGCACATCCTGATAGTCTGCAGTCACAGAACTTCATCCCTTTGAGGTTATCCAACTACATCTAACCCAAAATTAAAATTCTAGATGACAACAGGAAATCATCTCAGGAGCAGAGCATTGGGAATGCTTACCAATATCTTTTGAGGTAATCTTCCGCCTTTGTTTCAGGACTGGCTGTGAGGCTTCCACAGAGCCAGGAGGGAAGGTGATTTCCCTTCTGATGGGGGGCGGTTGGGGGGGCGGCCCAGTGACCTGGGACGTGGGGACGGTGGGCATCACCTTCTGCATCTTCATGGAGGGGAGGAACGGGGACTTGCTGGGAGACATGCGGCTCTCCAGGGAGCGCTGGAAGGAGGCGGGGCTGGGCGCCCTGGAGATGTGGTTTGGCAGTGAGGGTGGCGTCTGGTAGGACGACTGAGGTGGGCGCGTGATGGGCTGCATGGAGGCTGAGGAGGACATGTAAGGCTGACGCTGGCTGACGTGGGAAGGCCACTGGCTCTCGTGGTTTATCCTCTGATCAGGGACCATCATGTCATCGGTGCGGTTCATGCCGGGGTAAGGCGGGGCCTGCGCGGGGCCGCCTGGGCCTTGCCTGTTCTGGTAGGGGTAAGGCATATCGTTGCGTGTTGCCCACATGCTCTGCTGAGGCCCTTCGCTGGAGGACGACTGCATGGGGCCGCCCATCATCTGCGGTGGGATGGCGTGCGGCTGTATCTGCCCTGGGCCCTGCATCCTCTCTCGGTTGTAGGGGTATGGATACTGTCCCTGCAGGGGCCTCCGGTCTGGGCCGGAGTAGGAGCTCCCGTACTGGTTGTACATCTCCTGCTGCTGGCTGCCATATTGCATGTTGTACATGTCTCCCTCGTGGCGTTTGGCTGGAGGCCCGTACATGCCATCCATATGGCGCTTGTAGTTCTGAAAATTCACAGAGACAGATCACACTGATGTGCTTTTACGGGTATAATCACGTGCTTAAATTAGACAAAATAGTTATTACCTGGTGGAACGTTCATTTCAAAATGAATATGGGAAGCTCCTACGTCCACGGACTAACAATTTATGTGCCATATTCAGTACTACACAAAGCACTGCACGTACTCTGTTTTTGTGTACTTGAAAACTTATGTGGGAAAAAAACAGTTTCCTCTCCTGGTATTCTCTGGGTAGATTTGGGAGAGCAGGGCGTGGGTGAAAAAACCAGCCTCCTCTCCTGGTATTCTCTGGGCAGATTTGGGAGAGCAGGGCGTGGGTGAAAAAACCAGCCTCCTCTCCTGGTATTCTCCGGGCAGATTTGGGAGAGCAGGGCGTGGGTGAAAAAACCAGCCTCCTCTCCTGGTATCCTCCGGGTGGATTTGGGAGAGCATGGCGTGGATGACCAGCACACAGGCCGCGCAGAACCAGGGCTTGGAGATCATGGTCACGGGGATGGCTTGTGTAGGCAGACGGAGACCTCACCACAAATGACAGAGTGCTCTGAGGGCCAGCCCAAAGGGCTCCGGGACTAAACAGACTCATTGGGCCTAACTTGACAGAAAAGCCTCCACATAGAGCTTGGCTCCTCACACTGCCCTGTGCCCCTGACACCTGACGTTGGATGAACCCTGCCCCAGCCTCCAGCAGGTCTGGGTCTCCTTCTCCAGGAGAACCGGAGGACAGGGCTGGTACGGCCTCACTGAGCTCCCCTCCCAGGAGGCTGGGGCTTCCACCACTGGATGGGGTGGAAAGCTCTTGATGAGAGCACGGGATGGAGGGACCCATATGGCGGAACACTGTTTAAGGTCAGCTGATTTGATGATACAATTCACCATACAAACATGCTCTGGTCAAATTAATGTTTAGAACGCCTTGTATTTTACAAGAGGTCTTAGACCTGAAGAGTTGTTTAGCAACAGCAAATTCCTATGTCTGACACGTGCTCCACTGTGTCAGTCGTGGTAACCGCAGGGTTCTCTCACCCACCTCGCGACTGAGCTGCAGCATGGTGAAAACAGCAGGCACCTACACACCCACCCTACAGTCTAAATATGTGGGCATTAATATCTTATTCTTAAGAACAGATCAACTTTCACTATTAGCATATAATATTTTAAGCTTGTTCACCCTACATATTCTCTAAAATATATTGTCAAATTTCTGTGCTAAAATGTCAATTGATATAATAGTATACAGAATAGACATATGTCTAAAATATACTTGAATTTGGGCTTATTATTTACAAGGACGAATGTCCTTAACTTCCAATAACATATTTTCAAGAGCTACTTCTAACTTGCTGACTTCAAAATCATAAGAATACTTTTTAGCATAAGCAAATATAACCTGATTGTTACATGTCATTTTGGTTATACTTCCTAAAACTCTTCAGAGGTGTGTGAGTCTGAATTTTAAACAGAAAGCGCAGAGATGCACACTGCTCGCCAACTCACCGTCTGCTGTGGGTACAGGCCCGGCTGGTGTCCTGCATATGACGGCTGTCCTGAGGGAGGGCCTTGGCCTGGGTACTGCTGCCCGTAAGGTTCATGCCTAGAATGAGTCATTCAAAGAAAACTTCACTGACCTCGGGCCAAGGGAGGGAGGAAGAGCCCACTTCTGGACACTCCATGCCGTCTTTCCTCCACGGCACCCTCCTGGCAGGTACTGTGAGCTGTGGCAGCACTTCCACTCCCAGAGGAAGAAGGGCAGCATCCACTCTGGGAGTGCTGCCAACCCCTGGCCAGTAGGGCGAGGAGTCCCACCGGACGGGCTGGCACCCTCTGCCTTTGAGGGACCAGGGAGGGCGTGACACAGACCGAAGGGAGGCATTAACGAGCGTCAGAAACAACAGGAGCACCTGAGAGTCAAAGCAGTGTTTCTCAGAGCACTGGAACATTGACACATAAACGTGGAAAATGTTTCTAACGTCCTCATCATGAGTATAAAATGTGCAAGTTTTTAAAGGAATCCTTCAAAATTAGTCCAAATGATACTAAATTGGTATAGACCTAACTACTCAAAATTTCAAAGTTCTATGACTCCAAAAGGCTACCAAAAAAAAAAAGATAATAGGGATGATTTAAATGTACTTCTATTAAGTTTTAAAATGGGAATAAACATACGTTTATTTCATATTGAGAAATTATAAGTACCATAAAAATAAACATTTAAAAGAACAACAGAATTGAAATTTTAGAAATTAAGCTGGTGTAGTTAGTATACTGAATTTTGTAAGGAAGAATACTGGTCAAGGAATGAGAATAAGAAAGAAAATAAATGAAAATTTAGAACATCACATGTAAAACAGACAAGTTTCTGCAAATGACATTGAAATCTGGAGGCAAGCTTATAGTCAGGAGAAAAGAAATACAATTGATGTGAAAATTTAAGCTGAACAAGTTAACACTTTTCAAAAGAGAAAACTTAATGAAGGAAATCCTAATGTTATTTAGTCGCTCAACTGTGTCCGACTCTTGTGCGACCCCATGGACTGTAGCCCACCAGGCTCCTCTGTCCATAGAGATTCTCCAGGCAATCTTCTTGACCCAGGGATCGAACTCATGTCTCCAGCATTGGCAGGCAGATTCTTTACCACTGATCTACCTGGGAAGTTCAAATCCTAATGTGAGAAGGCCAAAATAACTTCTACACCTGGACCATGTGACATTCCAGAAAGCAAGCATTTGAGAAGAAATAGAAAATACATCTTCCCTGGTGGCTCAGACGGTAAAGCATCTGCCTACAATGCGGGAGACCCGGGTTCAATCCCTGGGTCAGGAAGATCTCCTGGAGAAGGAAATAGCAACCCATTCCAGTATTCTTGCCTAGAAAATCCCATAGATAGAGGAGCCTGATAGGCTACAGTCCACAGGGTCGCAAAGAGTTGGACACGACTGAGCAACTTCACTTCACTTCAGAAAAGTATATTTGCTCAGGTTCCTTTAAGAATATATGTCCGAGGATGACTGTTCTCCTTCTGATCTTATCAGCCTATCCCTTGCCTCTTCCTCCTCCAAAAGCTTTTCCTGGCCTCTCAAAAACAAACCAAATCTTAGTAAAAATCCTTGATCTGGTACATCAGACCTCACACAGCGGTTAAGTGACTAAGGCGGATTTCACAACTAAACCTTCACTAGAAGGTCAGAATGAGAAGCTGAGATTTCCCAGTCACTATTAGAAAGTACAGTGTAGCTCTGAGCACGCGATACTGTGTAACTCAAAAACCAGGCTCACAGAGAATGCTAGAAAGAAACCTAATTTGATAAAAGAGTGATTTTTCAAACCAAAATTTTCCTTTGTATTAAACCAAGGACACCTAACTGCTTAGCCGGACCTACAAAAGCCAGCATGTGAACTGAGAGGGAGCAGTGTGGACCGAGGCCCCACCAAGGAAATGATGAAAACCACGCCTGTCCTGAGGCCTGCCTCAGAGCAACAGTTAGAAAAAGAGCTCTACTTTACCTCCACTGGTTTTCTTTAAAAATGAAATATTCAGTTGAAGGCTTGGTTTCTAAGCAAGTCTCCGTTAGGGAGGTAATGAACATGACAAGCAAAGGATAGGTCATCCATGGTAAGGACCACGGTCAGGGGCCTTCTTCACAAAAGTCCACCCTAAGCCACTACTGGAGGAACAGGTTCCTCTCTGAGACATTTCAATGACTTTCATTCCATCTTATTAAAATAATCTGTAATTATTGTAATTACAGTAATGCATCCTTATTTGCCATTTTAATATCAAGGGGATGTCCCGAGGAAAAAAAAGGTTGCCCTGGCTTTTATCAGAGATGTTTATTAAGGAGCAAAGCACTCCCTCTCAGTTTAAAACGTTCTCAGGTGACAGTGGAACACTTGAAAAAACAACCCCTGGAAGACATTGCCAAGAACCCACTGCTGCCGAGCCTGCTGACAGCCCAGCGTAGCACCGCTGCCCAGACCTCGGCCTGTGGGGAGGAAGGCAGGCAGGCACTGAGGTCACGGCAGGAGCCACACATGGACCCTGGGGCGGTGGTCTCGGTGTGGCCAGAGTGCCTGGGACAGCCTTGGCTCTTGCAATCTTAGGGAGAAGACTTGTGCCCTGGCCAGCCTAGCCCTGGCATATTTCTAATTTGTGCTTTCGGGCATTCGCTAATAAAAACACAGCTGTACTGGTGGCCTGCGGACAAGGTCCTTCGCCCCAGTTCCTGTTACAGTCAGCGATTGAAGGCAGCCATCTGACATGTACAGTTCTATTGAACTTTATTTTATTTTCCATTTATTTTTATTAGTTGGAGGCTAATTACTTTACATCATTGCGGTGGTTTCTGTTATACATTGAAATGAATTAGCCATGGATTTACATGTATTCCCCATCCCGGTCCCCCCTCCCACCTCCCTCTCCACCTGATCCCTCTGGGTCTTCCCAGTGCACCAGGCCCAAGCACTTGTCTCATGCATCCAACCTGGGCTGGTGATCTGTTTCACCCTAGATAATATACATGTTTCGATGCTGTTCTCTTGAAACATCCCACCCTCGCCTTCTCCCAGAGTCCACAAGTCTGTTCTATACATCTGAGTCTCTTTTTCTGTTTTGCATATAGGGTTATCGTTACCATCTTTCTAAATTCCATATATATGTGTTAGTATACTGTAATGGTCTTTATCTTTCTGGCTTACTTCACTCTGTATAATGGGCTCCAGTTTCATCCATCTCATTAGAACTGATTCAAATTCTACTGAACTTTAGCAGGAAGCAGACATTGGCTGCTAGGGCTCAGACATGTATGTGTGGAAAGCACAGTTTCGAATAAGTCATCTCATCTTCATCTTAGGAAATACTCACCTTCGGTCATAACTGGCTCCGTAGGGAAACTGTTGCCGCGGCCCCATGCCCAGACTAGACATGGCCCCAGACGGACTCTGGTTGTACATATCCTGCATGCTGCTGGTGGGCATCTGTCCTTGCGTCATGAAAGGCTCGCTGCTTCCAGGCACTGAAATATTTACAGTAACAGACAAAAAATTAAGCACTTTCAAATGCCAAAGGGCCCAGACATCCCTTTCTAGTCAGTGCTGTTATCTTTAATATGACAGATAACAATACCGATCAAAGAGCACAAGTCTCTGAAGTTAAGATGGGCCCTGTTGAGGCAAGATTCTAAGTTGACCCCCCTTCATGTACACATCTTGTACGAGTCTCCCTGAGTGTGGGGAGAACTCATGATGGGATGGGATGTCACTCCCAGGATTAATCTACATCACAGGGCAAAAGGGATTTCAGAGATGTAATTAAAGTCACCAATCACCTTGCTAAGCTAACCAAAAGGGAGAGCACCCATGTGGGCCCTTTAAGTTGGCATCGTAAGAGACAGAGCAGATCAGAGACACTCTCCCGCTGGCCTTGAAAGCCAGTGCTGCGCAGGGCAAAGGCCCACGTGTTAGGAAGGACGGCAACCGCTAGAAGCAGAGCAGGCCCCAGATGACAGTCAGCAAGAAAACAGGACCTCAATCCAACAACTGTGAGGAACCAAGTTCCACCAACAACTCTTAACGCGCTCAGAGGAATGGAATCCAGGCTTCCAGCCTGACTTGTACTGTGACCCTGAGCTGAGAACCCACAGAAATTGGAGGGCATATGCATGTTGTGTGTTTTAAGCCATTTGTGGTAATGTGTTATGCAGTAATATAAGAAACAAACACAGGCCCAGATCCATACTTATTTGGGTTAAGTTGCTAAATCTCTAAGTTTAATTCCTTATCTATAAAATGAGGTTGGTAATATCATCTCATGAAGTGGTTTGTAAGGAAGAGATATGTATACAGTTAGTTCCTTTCCCTTTTAGAAAAAAAAAAAAAAAGTGAAAACCTTAACAACCACCCATGCACTGACTTACTCTAAAATCAGGATGAAGAAATTCATGAGGGAGTAAGGACAGCTCAAGAAGGGATGAGATATTTCTAACAAGGGGTAGAGTGTCAATTCGGTCAAATATGCAAATTAGCATTTGCTCACAGCCTGAAGGAAACTGGGTCAAGCCCAGAAACTAGCCTGTAGGCAAATTAAACATTTTAATGCAAATCTTAATTGATATACACTTATTACCACTACCTGCCTTTATCCTATGAAGGTTGCTTTTATGTTCCATGAGATAAAAGCTGATTACAATTTTGTGAGCTGATAAAATTGGTCTGGTTGGTTGAGAGGTGCAAATAAAGAAGTCTGACACTGATAGAATATATTTTGCTTTATAAGGTGCTTTCAAATACTTCCTATCTTACATGTTCTTACATCAACCTCCAGTAGAACCAGTTTTGAAGTTATTTTCCATTTCTTGAAGAAAGTAGGGAAAACCACTATACCGTTCAGGTATAACCTAAATCAAATAACTTACAATTATACAGTGGAAATGACAAATAGATTCAAGGGATTAGATCTGATAGACAGAGTGCCTGAAGAACTACTAACGGAGATTCATGACATTGTACAGGAGACAGGGATCAAGACAATCCTCAAGAAAAAGAAAGGCAAAATGGTTGTCTGAGGAGGCCTTACAAATAGCTGAGAAAAGAAAAGAAGCGAAAGGCAACGGAGAAAAGAAAAGATATACCCATTTGAATGCAGAGTTCCAAAGAATAGCAAGAAGAGAGAAGAAGGCCTTCTTCAGTGATCAATGCAAAGAAACAGAGGAAAACGATAGATTGGGAAAGACTAGAGAGCTCTTCAAGAAAATCAGAGATACCAAGGGAACATTTCATGCGAAGATGGGCTCAATAAAGGACAGAAATGGTATGGACCTAACAGAAGCAGAAGATATTAAGAAGAGGTGGCAAGAATACACAGAACAACTATACAAAAAAGATCTTCACCACCCAGATAATCACGATGGTGTGATCACTCACCTACAGCCAGACATCCTGGAATGTGAAGTCAAGTGGGCCTTAGGAAGTATCACTACGAACAAAGCTAGTAGAGGTGATGAAATTCCAGTTGAGCTATTTCAAATTCTAAAAGATGATGCTGTGAAAGTGCTGCACTCAATATGCCAGCTAAATTTGGAAAACTAAGCAGTGGCCACAGGACTGGAAAAGGTCAGTTTTCATTCCAATCCCAAAGAAAGGCAATGCCAAAGAATGTTCAAACTACCATACGATTGCACTCATCTCACACACTAGTAAAGTAATGCTCAAAATTCTCCAAGCCAGGCTTCAACAGTACATGAACGGGGAACTTCCAGATGTTCAAACTGGATTTAGAAAAGGCAGAGGAACGAGATCAAATTGCCAACATCCATTGGATCACTGAAAATGCTAGAGAGTTCCAGAAAAACATCTATTTCTGCTTTATTGACTATGCCAAAACCTCTGACTGTGTGGATCACAACAAACTGTGGAAAATTCTTCAAGAGATGGGGATTTCAGACCACTTGAACCTGCCTCTTGAGAAATCTGTATGCAGGTCAGGAAGCAACAGTTAGAACCGGACATGGAACAACAGACTGGTTCCAAATAGGGAAAGGAGTACATTAAGGTTGTATATTGTGACCCTGCTTATTTAACTTCTATGCAGAGTACATCATGAGAAACGCTAGGCTGGATGAAGCACAAGTTGGAATCAAGATTGCCGGGAGAAATATCAATAACCTCAGATATGCAGATGACACCACACTTATGGCAGAAAGCAAAGAACTAAAGAGCCTCTTGATAAAAGTGAAGGAGGAGAGTAAAAAAAGTTGGCTTAAAACTCAACATTCAGAAAACGAAGATCATGGCATCCGGTTCCATCACTTCATGGCAAATAGATGGGGAAACAATGGAAACAGTGACAGACTTTATTTTCTTAGGTTCCAAAATCACTGCAGATGGTGACTGCAGCCATGAAATTAAAAGACACTTGCTCCTTGGAAGAAAAGTTATGACCAACCTAGATAGCGTATTAAAAAGCAGAGACATTAGTTTGCCAACTAAGGTCCATCTAGTCAAAGCTATGGTTTTTCCAGGAGTCATGTATGGATGTGAGAGTTGGACTATAAAGAAAGCTGAGCACTGAAGAATTGATGCTTTTGAACTGTGGTGCTGGAGAAGACTCTTGAGAGTCCTGTGAACTGCAAGAAGATCAAACCAGTTCGTCCTAAAGGAAATCAGTCCTGAATATTCATTGGAAGGACTGATGCTGAAGCTGAAACTCCCAATATTTTGGCCATCTGATGTAAAGAACTGACTCACTGAAAAAGACCCTGAGGCTGGGAGACTGAAGACAGGAGGAGAAGGGGACAACAGAGAATGAGATGGTTGGATGGCATCACCGACTTGATGGATAAGAGTTTGAGCAAGCTGCGGGAGTTGGTGATGGACAGGGAGGCCTGGCGCACTGCAGTCCATGGGGTCACAAAGAGTCAGACATGACTGAGTGACTGAACTGATATAAAAAGATGCATGACCTCAATCATAATTAAAGAAATCCAAGATAGAGGCTTTCCCCCCTCTCCCCTTCTGACTGACAAACATGAAAATGATAATATTCATTCTTAGTCAGAGGGTCCACATAATCATGCTAAGAGTGTTAAATTGGTATAACTTTTGCCAATACCTGCTATGGTAAGGCTGTATTTTGGTGACCTCCCCCCCCCCTCCCAAAGAAGGACATCTCTGGGTGCTCACAGACTGTGGAGTCCCCACACACTGGGAGGCTGGGCCTGGTCACATGACCAGCTCTGACCACCGGGACGCTGGCACATGTGATGCGGCAGAGGGCTGTAAAGCAACTGCAAGTGAGGCTGTGGCTACTGGAGTGCTCCTTCCGGGAGCTTGTCTCCCATGGCACCAGGCACCCAAGGAGCTCCATGGAAAGGCCCCTGGAGGAGGCCGCTGCCAACAGCTCCAGCTCAGCTCCCAGCCAGTCTCCGGATGACACCGGCCGTTCAGGTGACACCTGAGCTCAGCAGAACTCTCTGTCAGGCTTCGGATGACAGTCACCCCGAGTCCCAGCTGAGTACACCTGGAGTCGACAGCGATCCCACCCACCACAGGACTGAGAGAGATAATTGAGTGCTGTTGTTAAAGCTACTAAGTTATGGGGTAGTTTGTTAACAATAGTACAAAGTAAACCAAAAAAAATGTTTGTTACAAATAGTACTCAGTAAACAAAAAAAGAATTATCATTCTTTGATTCAGTTATTCTACTTCCAGGAATCTATTTCACAGAAACACTCTACACGTGTGAAAAACAGCTAGCTGTACTTCAATAATCACTGCATCATTATTTATAATAACAAAATATTATGAAACAAACCATGAATTACTAGAACATTAAAAAGAGTAAGTAGGACTGTATCTGTGGATACTAATAAATATTCAAAATGTATACTGTTAAGTTAAACAGTATATAAATATTCCTTACTGTTTACTTAAAAGCAATGAATCGATCAATTCCTCAGTCAGTGATGAATGAGTGAGTAGGTGGGGAAGGAAGGCAGGAGGACAGGCAGGGTCAAGGCTACTCAGGGCTTCTGGGTCTTAGAGAAGGCTCTTTTATCTACCATCCCACCACACTCCAGGTCAACCACAGGAGCAGCAGCACCAACAACAAGGGGCGTGATATCCACTGATGTTGGTCATTAAATAAAAAATCAGAGCCCCACCAAGTTCACTGACAGAATATAGTGAAGTGAGGAATGGAAAACTTTGCTGTAACAGGGGTAGGGCTGTAAGGAAATCTGCTTCCTGTGGGCTTTGTTCACCTGCTTTAACTTGGTACTAAATATACCAGTATTGGAAGGTAGCAGGTAAGCCGAAATACATGGGGGAAGTGTGAGGGCTTCCCGCTGAGCCACTGTATCATTTACACAGCGGATGAAAACACACTATAGAGCTACCTGGTACCTAGAGCAAGGTAATCCACAGTCATCCCCTCTTCACCCCCACACTTATTTTCATTAAAAAAATATAGGCATAAGGAGACAAAAGAAATAGAACTCATGTTGTCAAATATAGCATAATAGATAGGATATTGGAATAGTTTTCAATAACTTTGAAACCGGATTCCAAACCATAATTATTTTTCCATGTTATTGTCATATTTTCAGAGTCTAAAGGTATTATACAACTACCAACATCACTAACGACACATTCTTTCTAGCATCTCCTACCACGATGGAAAACAGTTAACTCCAACATTCACAAAGCTCTTGAATTTCTGAGCTTATGGATTTGTTGCATGTTTTGCAAAATCTCTACCTGAAATAAGCAGCTCAAACTTTTTGAAAGGACAAACTATAGTGCTCTGCCAGCTCCAGACACACAGCCTACCCCTCACTGCCTTGACATCTACAGTGAACTCTGGTTTCCTTTTCTGTCTTGTTCATTCCCAGGTGTCCATATCACAGGCAGTAACAGCCACCTTCACTTCCCGCTCTCTCCCGACTGCCCACCTCTCAGTCACCATTGCTTGGTTCTTCTCCCTTAACCCCCACATTCAACATTCAATCCATCAGCACGTCCTGCTGTTTCTATCCCCCCACCCCCTCACACACATATACTGAGTGGTTCCATTCTCTCTCCCTGCTGGGTCTCACTCCAAGCCCTCGCCTCTCTGAGGACTCTGACAGTGGTCTCCCCAACTCAACCCTCACTTCTCTCCAATACATTCTCCATAAATGTCCAGATAGTTACTCATTTATTTTTAACAACAACAAAAATCCAGTCACCTCACATCCTGCATAAAAACCCCAAACTCGTCAGCACATGCAGGAAGTGGAAAGGCTCTGGACCCGGGGGCCTGGGTGTTCTTAGCATGGCCCTCAGCTCTTTGTGCCCCCCACGCACACCAGCCTCACTGCCGCCTCGCTCCCGTCCCCAGGAGCCCCCTGCCCGCCCTCCCTCCCAAGGAGAAGCCCCTCCTCCCACGACCGCCCCCACCCCCAGCGCCATTGCTCTTTGTGTCCTTTTTCCCTGGTTGTTTCTTTTTGTCCGTCGAAAACCATCTTTAGTCACATATACGTGGTTTACCTTACTTTTTATCTGTTGTTGGTAGCCCGTCAACTCCACAAGGGCCTGTCTGGTTTACCAACTTAGCACCCAGCCCATGCCCAGCCCATGCCTTAAGACAAGCCTCATGCCAACTCGGGGTAGCACCAAGAGCACCTTTGCTTACGATACGTACCAGTCACTCTTCTAAGGCCTGCCTGTACTTATGTGCATTAACTCAGCTCCTCTTCATGACCCCTTATTATCCTAATTTCCAGAAGAAGAAACCAAGGCATAGAGATGCTAAGTACCTTCCTCAAGGCCGGAAATTTAGTAGGCTGCGGAGCAGGGGCAGCGAATCAATCACAGGACAGCAGAGGAATGCCCTCTGGACCAACCCCGCACAGAGGGCCCTTGGGGTTTACCTTTCCGCATCCCTCCAAAGGGGTCCTTGTTGGGCTCGTAGGGCATCCTGCCCATCACGTCTGGCATGCTCATGCCCTGCTGGTACGGGGTGCTGGGAGTCATGGAGTTGCGTTTGGGGAACGATGACTCACTTGCGTCTGAGAATGGGTCATGCACACTGACGGTGCTGCTTCTGATGAGATGAGAGACATGAAAGCTTAACCACAGAGCATTAGTCACCTGCCAACGCTGATCCTGAAAATAAGCCAACCTTGAAATCTGTGTACATGGGAAAACCATCCAAAGTAAATTATATGACTGAAACTGGGGGTAGTCAATATTTAAAAACTCACTAGAGAACACCATTTTCTCTCTCTCTAAAGTCTGCTCCAGAAAACTAAAAGATAGACAAATCTAACTTTATATGGCTCACAGAGATCTTTCAACATACCTTCCACCTTGCATCGGGGTCATCTGTCCATGAGGGGTGGAGGCTGGAGTAGGTGGCTTCAGGTCACTTGGAACCTCTGCCATCGAATTACTGCCAGTTGACTGGGGGGTCTGTGGACCTTGCAAGGATCCTGAGTTAGCTGATAGTAGTGATACCAAGAAAAAATGGGGGAAAAACTAGAGGTTATCAAGTGAGCTCATCCTTGATAGTTATTCTTTTAAAAAGGGAAAGAAAAACAGGACACCATCTCATGTAGAAAGAGTAATAATATCCATTGCTGGTAACGATGTAGTAAAATTAACTGTTTATGGTGAAAATCAGTAAAAGCTTTTTTTCCCTAAACTCTTTGGGAAATGCACTTCAGATATGAGCTGTAAACACCTTTTGACTGGGTAAATGCTTTCTTTCCTGGGTATTTATCCCAGAAAAATCATCTAATATAAAGAAGGTTTTAGAAGGCTTATTTTAGTGTTGTTTATAATGAAGGTAATCTGAATGTCTAAGAATAAGGAAAGATGGGACAAAAAAATTTGTTTCATCAATTTGATGGGCTATTGTGCTACTTTAGAAAAACATTATAAAAATTATCAAGGTCTTAGGCAATGAGAAATGTTTAAGTTGTAAAGAAATGGTACAAATTAATAATGAGCTTTGTATCATTTTTCCACATCTGGATGTGTCTATGCTGTCATTAACAGTAGTTTTTGGAGCTATGAAATCATACTTTTTATTTACACAACACAATTCTTATTGGTTTAGAATTTAATGTCATTATCAGAGTAACAAGATTGGGCTTGAACTATAATTAAACTATAATAACAGAGGCCAGAATTGAACAGATCTTTTTAAAATTTATGTGGGATTCATGAAAAAAATTAATCCCACTTAAAAACATAATATTTTAAGGGCTCTTGCTTTATCATTGATCATAGTCCTTAGCATATTAGGTGTTGGATAGATATTGGCTTCACTTATTAAACAAACATTAATTGAATGAATATTGTGTTCTGTTTCCTACTGTTGGAATTTATCAAATTGACAGAAAAAGATAAAAATTCCTGCCTACATACATACATACGATACTTTCAGAATTCTAACTGTAACAAATAGGATTGCTGGTTGCTTATAAACAATAATTTGCATATATTATTATCTACAGTTAACGAACTGTACAATTACCACACTTTACTTTAGGGGAAACTGAGTTACACAAACCCTGGAGATCACAGAGTACCCTATTAGTGAGTAAGAAACGGGGTCTATCACTTCTACTCAGAGAGCTTCAGCTGAACCAACATGTCTGCATGGTCGGGGCCTACTTGGGAATGAATACTGAGGACTGGCCAACAGAGGGTGCTTTCCATCACACCTCCCCTGGGTGCCTAGGACGAGAGTGAATCAGGGAAGACTAGCTTTAACTACAGATACCTTCTTAGATGTAGATACCTTAAAATAAAAACTTACCAACTCATGCTTCTAAACCAAACCAGAATTCTACCAAATTCAGTTTATTATACTTGTATACCAAATATGCATTTCCAGAGTTTTACCAAAAAATGCATATTTAAAAAGTAGATATAATGAAAGAAACAAGTAGAGCCTTTTACAAATACAGAAGGATAACCCTACAGACATGACTGCCCCACAGAACTGGCAGGGGAAATAACTGATTTTTTAAACTCAAGAAGCAGACTACAGAAGCCAGCACAGCTTCCTTGGAACAGGGCTCACAAGGCCGTGAGTTCAGAACAGCCCTTATTTACAAGTATTCACATTTATAGCTAATAAAAAAAAAAAAGGAAACATTCTCCCCTCTCCCCAGTGTGTTTTCCTTTCCCTTCAGGGGAAAAAAAAAAAAAAAAAAATGAATGCAACCTCTGGAAGCTGCTAACAGAGGAGGCTGGCTCTCTAGGATATCCCTACCTTTTGCCAGAAGCTACAAATGTATACTGGAAAGTAAACAATGGAGAGGTTACTGAAGGTTAAGTACATTCACACACTTCAGACTGAACAGGGCCAGACTCCTAGCTGGGAAGATAATTTACACAGCATGGACCCGGTGCCCTATTTCTGGCTGGGGTTGCAGGAAGGAGGGTGGGGAGATGAGGCATAGCTGATATGTCCCAGGTCTAGGCAACCAGAGGTCACCCAGAGGGCACCTCTGTTTATAACCCAAGCCCTTTCTCATTTATCTTCCACTGAGGATTCCCTAGTTGGATCCATGACAGGCTCTGTGACATCACCTGTCAGCTAATAATAGAAATTCAGTCAGCCACCTGCCAGCAAAGATGGATGGGTTTTTGGTTACAGACTTACTAATTGAAAGTGGAGCTTCCTCCCACCACCCCCACCCATTCCTCCCAGCCAGGTCCCCTCCCCACCCTGTCCCTACCCCACTCTAGCTTACAGGCAGCCCATGCCCTGGATCCCTGTGGCTGTTCATTAGATCTTCACAAACTTTTACAGTCGGTTATAACAGCAGCCCCAGCAGCACCTCAGAGCTGCAACCGCACCCCAGGCCCTGCTCAAGTTTCATTCAGGAGCCTTCCTTTGGTGGGCTTGCTCTAGACCCCAAAGTCACAGCCTGGATCTCTGGGGTGAGAAGCCACACAGCCATGTAACAGTGACGATCTGGGTGAAGGCTTCAGGGCTAAGGGGCAACACCTTTCAGAGGCTGACAGGACTGAATTTCAAATCTTATCAGCCGTGTCACATCCGAACTGAAACAGGGGTATGACCTTAAGTCATTAGCATTTAGGATTTAAGTTGGTTCAGAATGAACATTTGAAAAAAGAATCTAGAATGTTTCTGAGGAATCTTTTAGTTGTTTGCCTGGATGTATCAGGAAGGAATAAGCTACAGTTAGGTTCTTATGGGAAAAAACCTGACTTTAAAGAACACAAATTTTGGCTGAAAATTAGTTTAAAAATTTTTGTAGTATATGAGGCCCTGACATGGCAAAGGTTTGGGAATAATTTGTTTCCCTTCTCTGACAATAAAAATGTTTCAGAAACATTTTCCTTAATCATAGATCTGGAATCAAAGAGCCCACTGATTCACAGATGCTGGAGGAAATGCCTGGCTTTTGGTTGAGAGGCGACATTACTCACTGCCCACTGCCTGGTCCATGTTTCTGTCCTCTTGCTGAGCGGTGTGCAAAACACGTGAGCCATGCAGACTGGCCCCGTGCACCCCGCACTATGCCCTTCAGGCTGTGCATTGGCTGAACTGCTAAATTCAGGAAGCTTTCCTCCCGTTTCCTGTTTCACAGACTCAGGATCCATTTGGACCACTGAGAAGAATGTATTATCAGAGGTGCGCCTGCAATCCGAGCTCTTTTGTGCAGTTAAAGCGATAATGTTGCCATAAAAACGGTAGTTTAAAATAAAGAGGGGGGGAGAGGAAAGAGCTGACTGTTCAGAGCACAGGCCCTGTACTTTCTGAAGTGTCTGTACCTCAGCAGGGTTTCTCGTACCGAAGCTGATGCACACTGGGAGAGCTATTCTCCATACAGAAGTACAGACCATTCAGTGACACGAGTTCTTTCCTGGCAAATAAAATATACCTTTAGATCTTTGCAGACATCGCCACTTTGGTCCCTACACCCTACTGGGTTTTTATTTTGGAAAAATAGTTTCAGAGCTGTTCAGAGGCAGCTTGTTTTACTCTGTGAACTGAATGTAATGTTGTGAGATTTTCGAAATTAGATTTCACAGTTTTTAAAGTCCACCATAACTGGCAAAGGCTGTGGATCTTTAAGGGTGGGGTGAGAGAGAGGAACTTCTCTACTTGTATTTAGAACCAACAGATCTATATTGAGGTGTGCTCATTACACGTGTACCCTGGGCCTTAAGAGTATTTATTTGAGATCGCTTGATTAGTGGCCTTAGATATTAGCATTGCCCTCCAGATATCAGCTAGAGGAAGTAATTAAAAGAGAAACAACTCCTTTCTTTGGCTCACAGGTACCACTTTCTGTGTGTAGACAGTTTACCTATTACAGCGCTGCTTTAAGCACAAAGTGTTGTAGGTACACCTGGCTCTCTAATGCTAGAGCCAGATGTCTGGATCAAAGCCTGGTTCTCCCCCTCACTAGCAACAATGGGCCAGTTTGCTGAGATTTCATGTGCCTTGGTTTTCTCAGGGGTTTTAGAACAGTATCTGTATTACAGGGCTCATATGAAGATTAAATGGGAAAGCCCTGGCATACTATAAGTGCTCAAGAAATACTGGCTATGACCATTTGACGGCATAACAAGCCTGTGTTGGGGGCCGTGGCAGGTACAGTCAGCCCCACCTCATATGCGGGACAGTGTGAGCAAGTGTGACCAACACAGGGCTTGGACATGGCCAGAAGCAGACCACAGAATGATCAAACTTAACCTGAGTGAGGTCACCCAGAACTAAAGATGATGCAAACCTCTTCTCATCTTCAATACTGGATTTATCAGAATACAGTGATTCAGTAATTTCAAATCTGAAATGCTAACAGTAGAACAGAAGCCAGCAGGAGAGCCAAAAGGATGGCAGGGTGTCCAACAGCTGAGTGGAGAGACAGCAGAGAAGGCAGGTACCATTTGTATGATTTTGCTTCTGCGAATTCAAGTGAATTGCCATTATTCCCAAGCAGTATTTGCTTAGATTCCTGACCTCTAGCTCAAAACTAATTTGGACTCCACTTTCGCAGAAACAGGGCTATACAGACCTTTATCATGAAAGTTGGCTGAATTCCCTACAAGCAAAAACTTGCTTGGCAGGGAACATTAAATACGAAGTCAAAATTTCATTTTGCTGTGTACAAATCTGAGTATCTCCGACAGAGGCAGAGCTGGTGGAAGCTGGCTGTTAAATCTGCAGGGTGGCATTTCCAGTATGAGCACAGGTTAATGGGGAGACATTTTGATAGTTAGGTGGGGTATTTTAAAATAACTGTATAAGGAATTAAAGTATATAACTCAGAACCTGAAGTCTTTGACTAGAAAAGGTAAAGCAAAAGATCAGCACCTTCAAAATGCAGAGCAGAAACACAATATCCCCAGTTCATTCTTCCTTCCCTTAAGCACTGCTAACGGGGTCCAGTTAAATGAACAAGAGAAGACAGGATGTCCCTTCCCCTCTCTCAGACCCCAGCGTGTCCTGTTTGCTCTGCTGAGTGGCCCTCTCAGAGCCAGGGAGGGGCTCCCGGCTGCAGCGCCCCCCACTTACCAGGAGATGGCGGCTGGAGCTTGGGCTGCTTCTTGGTGTCACCCGTGCTGAAGACTTCCGGCGGGGGCTCCTCCCCCCGCTCGATCTTGCACTCAAAGGCAAACAGGTACTGAATATACTGCTTTTTCAGGGAGCTCGCTGCACTGCTCGAAGTGCCAACATTTAGGTTGGTTGCCAGCTCACGCCACTTCTTGTTTTTATTAACCTAGCAAAAAAAAAAAAAAGGCAGGATTACTGGTTTGCAGCAAAGTGGCTTGTTTAAAGCCAGGAAACAAAAAAAGCACTTAATATCTTGGTTTACTTTTTTTTTCATTTTCCTCTTTTAACTAATGCTCATTACTCCCACTCAGTAGTGCACAGACAGCATTTACAGTTATAAAACCATTAAGGAACCTGCTGATAGCTACATAAAAAGCATTGGTCATGGAGATTCTTCTGCCCAGTGCATCTTCTAATGCCTCCGAGTCTGCCAGAGCGGGGTGCTGCTCGGAGCTGGCAATTTATCTCTGAGCAAAGGCGCTCTAGCTCACCCCCATCTCACTATTTTTTTAAAAAAGAGTGTCTAAAAACTAATCTAGAAAGCAATAACAGAATTATTTTGCAATTTAAGTATTTGAGCCTTAATAAGAAAAACAATGTCTCCTTCCAACAGCCACAAGCTCCCAGAAAGATGAGCCTGTAATTTCTGTTCATGCCCAGCCTTTCACATGAGGCTTTCTTGTAGTATTGGGTGAACGAGGCCCCAACCAAATGAGCCCAACCTAACAGTCCAGCAGAAGTCATCAACCCTGTCTGAGCTATGAGCCACCAGCTAGCGGACATGGCAGCACCAGTGGGCTTGGGAAGGGGCACAAAGGACCATCCAGTGTTCCCACTTACACTCAGGCTGGAGGGAATACAACTGCAAAAAGAGAAGAAAGGAAGGGAATCCTCATACGTTATATAAGATTTGAGGAATTTGTTTAACATTTTGATTCCTGATGGGAACAGATCATACGAGGCTGACACACGAAGCAAACGTGAAGGCCTGCAAATACTTGGGGAATATTTTGCCTTTAGATGTATCCTGTGTTAAGCAGCATGGGTTAAAGGGACAGTGAGTTTGAATGAAATGTTCAATTTTTGGATTCAAACTTCCTCACAAAGCTCTTTATGTCCATTTACTTAGTACTAAATGGTGCCTGAGAAACCAGAGAATACTCTCGGGAATGCTCAGTGCCATTTTTGGTACTGAATGCCAGCTGCAACGGGCAGGCCTGTGACTGCTTGTGAAACAGTAAGCAGAGCACTGCCTGGGACACCCTGAAAAGCCAGGCTCTTAGTTGATCTCTCTGGGGCTGCAGCACCTGTTCCAATAACATCTGATGGGGTGTGAGTGACAATGAGGCCAAGGCCTCACCGCTGGGAATCACTACTACATTCAAGCAACTTCATCAGCTAAGCCAGTAGCATGTTGCTCACAGACCCAACCTGGGAATCCACTTGGCTGAGTGAGGTATCCTGATGGTTCCTTGCTTCTGTGAGCTGGGTGAAACGCTTTGCTGGGCACCACTCACACCTGGTCACACCTGATCTGCATCCTGTGATCCCATCTGATTACGCGGTCTGGAGTCAAGCTCTAATTGCTTTACTTGGAGGCCTCAGTCTCGGGTGGGAGGAGGCTGCTCAGGGTGGGCTGAGAACAAAAGCCTCTCCTGCACACCCCCAGAGCTGTGCAGCCCGGAGACCAGGGTGGGTCCTCAGTGATACCTGTGCATCAGCAGACCTGCCTTTGGATAGTGAGGCCTGGACCACCTGAGGCCCGGAGCAGCTCCTTTCACTGGTCTGGGAGGGAGCCCAGGGACTGACAGGTTTTAAATGCTCCCAGGTGCTGCTAGTGAACAGCTAGGTCTGAGCACCAAGGGCAGATAAAGGGCATGTGTTTTGCAATCAAACAAACCTGGCCCCACCACCTACCCTGAGAGTCCCTCGACCACAACGTTATTGTACAGTCAGCCTTCCCTGTTCCCTGGTTCTGCATTTGTGAATCCAACCAATTGTGAATTCAAAGTATTGAGGGAAAAAAAAAAAGCTCCCTTATCCCCCGCCCAAAATAAAGTTCCAAAAAACAAAACTTGAACTTGTACCAGCAACTATTTACACAGCATTACACTGTACTGGGTATTATAAGTAACCAAGAGATGATCTGAAGTACACGGGAGGTGGTGTGTAGGTTCCAGAAACAAAGGGACGCGCTTGCAGGGTTTCAGTATTTGTGGGGATCCTGGAACCGGTGCTCCGTGGACCCCGGGGGCGACTGTACTTCAATCTGTTACATCTCTTCTTCAGGGCTGACGACTCTGCATTTCATGGGTGTTGAGAGAGAAGTGACAAGAAAAAGGACGGTGCCCAGGATGCGGCAGGCACTCACCCCTGAGGGCCCTTTTCTCCATTCTACTTCAGGATATGGACACACAAACCCGCCCCAGTGCTAAAAACAGGGCTTAGACAAGGGAAAAGAGAATGTGGCCCCTAGGGTAGGGTACAGAATGAAGGGGGCAAGTGCAGGGGAGGCATCTGCACAACCCCAAAGGGAGTGCCTCCGGGCATGCTGCATCTGGGTGCCCCCAGTCATGGGAAAGGACAGCACTGCCCCTCCTGTCACCCAGGTACAGCAGACATGGTTGCAGAAGGGTGACTTAGTTTTCTTGTTAACTTGCTTTGGATAGAGAGAAACAGTGAATTTGATTTATATCTGATCCAATTTAGTCATTTGTAAAACATTTCTGTTTACCATGAAATTCTAACACAGACTCCACAGAATTCTAGAGCTGTTAGGGACCCTAAAGCAAAACCTAGCTCAAATGTCTCATTTTACAGTTAAGGACTGAGTCCATATAAATGACCTACTGAGGTCACTCTGCGAGTGGGTGGCAGATCGGGGTCCCTGACGCCAGTGCACCCCCCGCCCCCCACCTGCCACACATGAACATGGATCCAGTAAAGGTGACCTTCCCAGAGGCTTAGCTTTTTCTTTGTGAGAAAACAAAAAAAAATCAAGTTTGCATATTCAAAGCTCATCCATAACATCTCCTCATTCAGTTGTTCTCACCTGTGCCAAACCTCCGATCTCTTTGACGCAGACATAGAGTCTGAACAGGTCCAAGGGCTTCTTGCCCACCGCAGGCAGACTTGAGACTGGGGAGCCCCTCTCCTCCATGAAGGTGAGGTAGCGGTCCACCCACAGCTTCCTCTCTGGTTCATTCCCTAGCTCATACACCTTTGTGATCTTTTCCCCAGTGGTGGTGGATGAGCTGGACTTCTAGAGTCCAGGGCAGCATTTGGAGATGGGGCATAAGCGGGCAGAGGGAAAGGGAAGAAGGCGAGAAAAAAAGTAATGAGCTACCAAATACAAGAAGAGAAGAAATTTTAAAACTACTGCTATCACACAACAATCAGGAATGAAGGCTACTAGTTCAGGCACAAAGTATACATTTTCTTAATTAAGAATTTACTTTGATTTTAAATAAAGGGCCCAAACTCCCTCTTATATATACTTGAAAAACAAAAACAACAAAACTCTCTTTTACTTTATCAATATAAGCATTGAATCCCAGAAGGCAAGACTCCAATGACCCCTCATGTCATTTTTTCTTTTTTTTTTAAAAAAAGGGTGCAAGTTCATTGAATGGCCACAATGAGTTTAAAGTTTCAACTGTAATATTATAGAGCCCCCCTCCTCATTATGTAGATGCCTACATTTCCTTGTCAAAATATGAATGACCAATGTAGTTTTATTAAAACTAAATCATATGGAGGTAGAGCATATACATGATGTGTGTTGAAAAATATAAGGTAGGTCACATGTCATCGGACCCAGTGGTGTGTGCGCTTTACATTTGAGAGCCTTCTAAATTAATGGCCAGTTACTAGCATTCTCTCAGAATGATCCGCTTTCCTGACTTAAGATTTCTTGAACTTTTCTGTCAAGGTAAGGTGCTATTTTAATAGATTTCTTAAGCAACCATGTGTTCATCACAAACACATGTGCTATTTCATACTCCCAGCTTATTTACGAATGTTTACTTTTATGTGCCCATTTGGTTTATACTGATGTTCTAATTCTTGGTCTTTCATTTTCCTAATTATATATTTGATACTAAAATGTCAAAAGTGGCTGTTTCTGCACACCTGAAAGCTCACCCTCTGGATTATGTGATCTGGGAAGGTAATACTTTTTGTTTTAAACAGCCCACTGTATATTCTCCCTTTCTTTTATGTCTCTGTATTTGTAACAATATTTGTGTACTCGTAATATCTGCAACTCTGGGATTCTTGTGCAAAATCACTTGTAAATTCTCAAATATTTCCTTGGAATAATAATATATTTCATTTAATCATGTTTATTTACTAGGTTATCATTTGCAATGTATAGTACTATGTTAGACCAAGTTTTTTTTTAACTCTTTTTCGTTATATTTAGCTCAACGTAATTTCAAACATGTGACCTGAAATGGGGATGGTGAGTTAAATAACATAACTGTCTTTAAGGTTTGATGCTACCTTGTTTAGCAAAGTGATTCCCAATAAAACTAGGGCCTGAGAAAGTATGCTTGAGAATGAAACTAATCAAGCTGATGGGTGGCAGAGGTCCTTCCAATTAACATGTAATTTCCCAAGCTATTTTTGCTAAAATTTTAAGCCTTCAGCTTTAGAATTATTGAAACATAAAATGTTTACATAAAACATATAATAATAGGTGATACAGCTGATGTAAATAAAAAATGTACAGTGGCAGGATTAAAAAAAAAACTGTGACCTTTTACAATTTGTATTGATGAAGCTAAAGAGCAAGTCACCAAACGGTTACTTTAGATAAGAACTTAAAATGTATATACATATTCCTATACATGTCTTATAAATTCATGTATATACCAGAATATGGAACATATTCCATATCCAAGTAAGTCTGTACATTTTATCATATTCTTATATCCAAGGAGTCTCTGACTAGGGAAAGAAACTGTTCTAACTACCTCTTATACCACATTCTCATCCTGGGAACATTTCAGAAGCTTTGTCATCATTAATGAGGTAGTTATTAACAGGAGGTTTCTAAATCCTAGTGCTGAAAAATTTTTTGTCTTTATTGGGAGGCACATTGAGAAAATGGACCCAATCTTGTAAAAAAATAAAAATCTGAAATAAGAATCAGAGGAAAAAAGCACTATCACCTAAAATCAATTAATATAACAACAAACCACCACCACCATGAATCTCCCCCTTTTATTTGATCTGTGAAAAATTGAGAGGTAAAAATTTGAGATTCAATTTAAAAATAAGAGATATAAAATCAATCATTTCAATTAACAGTTACTGTAAGTGCTCCATCAACATCCTGAATATAAGAACCAACTGCTATTTCTGGCCTGGTCCTCTCTAAACTCCAAATGTGGAAGGGCTCCAGGAGAACAGTTCATCATGACCCAAGCAATGAGACTGTGCAGTGTGTGTTCCTATTTATGAAAGGACTGCATTCTCATAAACTGAAATGGGTCTAAAGGAATGATTCACTTAGTTTGACTATCCATAGTTTAACTTTTCTTACCGTTCTTTGTTAAATGAACTTAAGTTTAATTAACTTCTACATATTTCAATTTGTTCTCATAAAATGAGAAAACCTTAATGAAGATAATCGCTTTTAACAGTTTTATCTTTCATAGTTTTTAGATCTTTAAAAATGCACTTTATGGTGCCGTAATGTAGGAAAAGGCATCTATATGAAAAGAAAGTGGTCAAGCCTCAGTTATGTGTCAGGTCCTAGAAAAGGCCTCCCTTGAGGCCAGCTCCCTGGTCTGAATCATCACGTTTTATTTGTCCTTAGAGGCACCTGGCCTCACAGGGCATTGGAGTGTGTGTCCTGCGTGGGATTAGCTGTCTGCCCTCCACTCTTCTGACCAGACCTTAAGCTCCATGGGGCAGGACCTGTGTTGATTTTGAATCACCAACAGTGACAGCACACAGAAGGTACTCAGTAGGTATTTATTCTATGAGTGAATACTCAAATGAATGAGAAAGGTCTGAAAAGTCTAGCACCATCCAAGAATTAACAGCTGATTAAAACAGCCTATAAATAGGCTTTCAGTGAGCAAGGTGCTAAGTGAACATGGACACAGTCTAGTAAGACTGAAAGCTGAGAAGAGATTGGTGGACAAGTAAGATCTCCAGGTGACACACCAGCCCATTCCCAAAGTTAGTATCTGGGTGTCCAAATAGAGAAAAACGATATTAAGAAAAACAAAAGCCCTAGGAAGTAAAGACTATACACTTTATCACTGATTAGGCTCAACATGTACTTTTTTTGTTCTCAGACATTATTAGTTTTGATGTGACCTTTGAATAAATATCATTTACATTCTACTCATCAACAATGGGCAAAAAAAAATAAAAAAACCTAGCCCTGCAGGAAGATAGTTAACTTTTCCAGGCCACTAGAAACACCTCATTTTGCTTTGATACTGTAAAAATCATATCATACTGCATGAAACACTGTCATGGAGGCAAGAAAAAGAAACGGAGATTGCTGAAAAATTACAGCAAGACATTATTATGGTGCCACAAAAGTTTTCCTTGCATGTAACTTAATTAAGTCTATAAGTAGACTTTTCCTCAAATCTTTGAGGCAGATTTACATTTCAGCAGTCTTTACCATATGCCTGGTAATATGTGTATATGCATGTGTATGTGCAAATGTTTATTTTTATTGTGGAATGTTTTGTAACAAAACTGTTGGTCCACAGCACACTGTCAAAGCATAGAACTTCTTTGTTATTTAGTTCATTTCAGGTCTGGTATTAGACAAGCTTTATTAGGAACACTGTGAGGAGCAATTTTAAGTACAATTTAAAGTTGCATCTCAGAAAGAGAAGTTAAATACTCTTCAATATGTATCTACAGTGATTTGACAGCAGAGATAATCTGAGGTCCTTCATAACAATCTCCTTTCGTTCCCTTCTTGAATGAGCATTTCATGTGAGCGTGGAGTTGTTTTCTCAATACAAAGCAATCTCCAACACCTTCCACTACCTCAAATCACATCCTCCCTTGTTCTCTTTTTCTATGACTGGAGCCAGAAGTATGATTGTAAATTTTTAAGTAAAAAGTGGTTATTTACAGGGATAATGTATGTAGAACTATACAGAAAAAAAGAGGACAGTAATATGTTATTTTAAGTATTATTATGTTACAGTTAGAAAATGAAATCAATAATTCAGTTTGTTTTTCTTTCTCATATTTAAGTAGAAGGAAGGGTTTTGATAATAGTTTCCTACATACTTACTGGATACAGGTAATGTGACAAAACCTTAAAATATAATAAATACCTCAATCATTTTTTATTATCCAGAAATCAGCAAGATGGAAATTTTAAACATGTAGTATGGGTCTATTAGAAGTCTTTAAGAAAAATCTTTTTTTTCCTCCACTCATGTTTTATTGGTCATCTCTTATTTTCTCACATCAGTTCCCTACTCAACTTGAAATCCCTTCCTCTCTTCTCTGAATTTCTCCCCTCTTCCCATTAGCAGACTTAATGCTAAATTCCTGTCCATTTTATCTTAAGGTTTTAAGGATATTTTCAACCTCCGAAATTTTCCCCTCTGAGCCAATAAACAAATGTTTTTGAAAAGTTATACATGGGGTTCTATTTGTTGACTTGAGAATATCACTGATTCAAAAATGTTTTTTCTTTAATGAAAAGAAAAATCAATAGATTATGGAACAACCCCCCTCCCCATGTTGGCTGCCTTCTGAGACTCAAAGCAAATAACACAAAGATATCAGAATTAAGGAGCTGCACTCTTTCATTAGTTCTGCATAACCCATACTAGAAGCATTTTTTCGTTTCATCTTGGTTGTTGAAAAAGCGAAACACATGTCTAGAGAAGAGCTAACAGTGAATATTGCCCTTTCTTCCCCTGAAAAGGAAAATGCTGGTTATAGTAGAGCTCCACATGAATTTTACAAACATTTACTGGAACTACCAAATCTTCAAACCTTCAGCTCTATCTGTTTAAACCAGTGAATGGATAATTAATAGCAGCCTCCTTGTGGGGTTTTGACTAGATTGCCAGATTCTGCAGTTAGAGTCTTCTTCCCTCCAACTTGCTTTTCCTGAGCTGTGCTCTTCAATACATTGTCTTACAAAAATTAGCGTATTAATTAAGCCTTCTTGGCAAGTAATTGCATGTTCAGTTTTTTTTTTTAAAGATCTTTTGATTCCCTATATGAATGTAAAATAAAGGTTACTACAGGGCCATTCTTCTTCTTCTTTAATGGCACAGAATTAATTTCTTTAGTAGGAAAATAAAAGCCTAGCTCTACAGACAGAAGAATACTAAGGAAAAAAAAAATTCCCTTATATACACATTTCCACTTTAAAAAAATATCATATAAAATCAACAATTTTAAGATTCTCAGCATGCTTGCACAGGATGTAATTTTTCTATCTTAAATGATTCTAATGTACGCACACATTAATCTATGAGTAGCATTCCAAATATTCACATACGCTAACATTTCTACAAATTTTCTGTTATTTTCTGACAACTAGATTGAAACAAAGTAGGGCTATAACATGCTGAACTGTGCCCAGAGTGTAGTATTTATATTTTCAAGATATAGGTAGTTTTGACATAAGATGTTTTAGACACAATAGCCCATGAAAGATTTAGTCCAAAGGCCAAACTTATCATTTACTCCATGGCTGCTATTAGTTACCAGGTAAATGGACAGTTAACTCATTTTAAAGATCTCCCAGAAGCGCACAACGGGTTAGACATTTAAACAAAGTCACTGTGTGAAGGAGTTTGGGCCCAGTAGCACAATCACATGATTCTTATAGATGCTTTTTTATATCAGTGGTTTCATTATCAGAAATCAACTTAACGTTATGATGCATACAAACTTTATTCATTTTGTTACTAGCATAATTACGAAGAAAATCCTTTCATGGATAAATTATGAAGAAAAAGTCTTATAAAACAAATTAATAAGCAAGCATTAAAGTAGAATTAATTATCAAAAATACCCCCAAAAACCAAAAAAACAAAACAACAACAACAAAAAAAAAAACAACCAAAAAACAAAAAACCAGAGCCACTTACAGGGCTTGATGGAGTCTTTGGCCAGCCTGGGCTGCTAATGCTATCACTTTCATCTCCATGAAATGAGGAGATGCTAGCGGAGCTGGGGGACATTGGGGAAGGGACTGGCAGGTTGCCGGGGGTTGGGGGCTGAGAAATACCCTGAGAGCTGTAGCTATCCTGTGGTAGAGGAATAAAAAAAAATGACAAAGGTAGGGCAAACTTTATTTAAAATAACAAAAAGCACATCCAGTTTAACAGACTAATTTTTATATATAGTAGATATATATATATAAAGACATGTACAAACACACAAAACCACACACATATAAAGGTATTAAAACAACATTCTTAATTAGTATAACTTGGTAAGTTTGCTGGATGCTGGATAAGACCACTAAGCCACCATGCTTATTCAAGCTTACATGGAATGCTAAGCATGGGTTACCCCTTATGAAAGAAAGAAAGAAAGAAAAAAAAAAAGCTGTTCACCTTATTTATCAAATAAGGCAGGAAAGCAAAATATTAAGTATGCTGTTGTTGCTGAGGCGGCCAAAACAGGAAGCTATAAACTGAAGGCAGAGAAAATGGCTGCAAGTATCAAAACCAGGCAAGATCCCTTCCTTCTCCCCACCCCCAGGCACTTCTCTGGGTGGGTCCTGTCCCTCCACCCCCTCCCACACCCAGTTAAATGCCATAAGAACTAGTAACTTTCAGATCCACACCATGAAGGGGGTGGGGAAAGAAGACTGCAAACAAGACTGTCGCACAAGATGGAGGCATGCAAAAGAGAAGAAACCAAACAGAAAAAGAGCACACGGCAGCTTCAGCGAGCAGGCCCCACACCACGTGCAGAGGAGGGAGGAGTACCTTCGACTTGCCCTCCGGCTGTGCACTGCCTTCTTCTTTACCGTCGGCTTTGAGAGGCAGGGGCAGTTTGGATTCACTAGGAGACATCATATCTGCAAGACCCATAGATGCTAATAGAAAACAGGAGAGAGAGTTTAGGATTATACGTGTGACTCGTCAGGCTGTGCTCACTAACACAAGCTACTGAGTGATGGGGCACCCAAATTTCCCTCCAAGGAAGGAAAGAAAAAAAAGGAGAAAGAAACTGTAACTCAGAGAATGCTAATTTTTGCAATCTAAGTAGCAAGGGATTCTTGCAATCCTTTTTATCTTGAGGGGGAGAAAAGCAATCATTTAACTCAAGACCTAAGCCATCGAAAGTCAACTATTATCAATATTATGTTTTCAAAATTATTATGGTTTTAATTGTGGAGGTGCAAACAGAAATATGCTCAACAACCAAAATGCTTATTAGGTGTTGGAAGCAAAGGCTGGGTGTGTGTATTTTCACTGGCTGAGTGGAGGATTTACTGCTTTCTTAACTTCCTAAATTCACACAATCCACAGTTTGTAAAATCACTTACCACTTAATATTATTTCACTCAAAAGTCACATCTATTACATATGGCCTAGGCTACAAGGACGGAAGACGGTTGTAACAGATGATTTCGAAAGCAATCATTGAAAGTCATTTGTGAAGGAGAGGATTTCTAATTACTTTGCAATGGGGCTGGTTTCCTTTCATTCTGGGGCAGGATGTACACGGATCAGTCCTCAGCTGCAGTTCAAAAGCCCAGGTCAGACACCCACACCAGCTCAAGTCAACCCTGCAATCCCAGGCAAGACTCATCTTCTAGCTCCTGGCTCAGAAATTCAGTCAGGTTCATTTAGGCTATAGAATGAAAGGTTCCCAAAGGTAACTGATTTACCTGCAATACTAGCAGACATTTTTAACTTAAAAATACAGGTTCAGCTTTCTTTTTAAAGGAAGAATAAGGCTAGAGTAGGGAATCAGTGTAGCTATCCAGGGCTTAACTGCTGAATTTCTATAGAATCCCACCGTGCAAACCATCTGCACGGCATTGGGCTGTGAGTGCCACACCACCCAGCTGTGTGAAGAGGCAGAGTGAGGAGAGGTGGAAGGAGAAAGTGAGAGGGGAGAGAATTACGAGCCTTATAAATGCGTGAAAACCAGAAAACATTCCCATTTCAAAAGAAAATAAAACTCGAGGTTTTATGAACAGGACCCATTTCACATTCTGAGAATCAAAGTGCTGGCTCAACCACCACCATGCACATGCAGCATAATGTGCCAAAAAACGAAAAAAAGCTTAAAAAAAAAAAAAATGGCTCCACAGATTGCCCACTACAAAATGATTATTGCACATATTCATGTATTACTATGTTTTAGAAAATAATTAGTTTTAATTACAGCAGTGAGAGAGTGAGCAGGGCTCTGGCGAATTAGCTGGCAAGCTTGGTGGTGTTAATTTGCTAATATCGTTAGCATCACTGCAGGTTGAGACCAGAGGTCCTGCCAAAAAAGCCTACCCAGCCACGTGCCCATGAGTTTACATCAGCACACTCAATGATGCACTCTGAAATGCCTGTATTTTCCATGGGCACATTGGCTTGTTTTTCAAAGCCCATTTGCAGCCCAGTCAGCCCTTGAAGTCATCACCACACACACAAATCATAATTGGGATGTTTTTCTTTCTTTTTTTTTTCAAATTACTTTCAATACTTAGACTTTAAGAACTGAAACAAAAAGCTTTTTCAAGTGATGCAGCTGCAGAGAAAAATCTATTGGGATCAGCTAAAAATGCGGTTATTTTTGTGAATGTGTGAAACCTCAAAAAAGCAGCTGAGAGATATTATACCAAGAAGATAGCCTTGTGTAAAGTAGCGGATGGCTTTCCTGCAGCTTCACCTCTTGGGTCTACCAGGATCATCTTTACATGAAGAAACCCCCTTTTGAGAAGAAGAGAAGAGAAAAAAAAAAAAGCAGGGCAAATGTGGAAAGCAGGGCTTCTTTACCCAAGTCCACATGTCCTTGGCTAGCTATTCCGAGTGGGCTCAAAGGAACGATAATCACACAATTCCAGAGAAAAGTGGCAAGTCATGGGCATGGGGTTTCTGTTAAGTCCTGCTCCTTCTAAGATTATGACAGTTTGCCAGTATTTATAATAAATTATGCATGAATATGAGTTTTGAAAAACAGGAATTAGTAATTTCTTAGTAGTTCCTTCTTCATGCATTAAATGTGTTAATGTACACAAAAGTAATTTTTTTAACTGAAAGCATTAAGCCAATACTGAATTATGATAATCAATGACAATTTAGAGTGATTTAAAAATCACACTGTGATGAATATATAAGCATGTATAGGGGTTTGAAATTCCCCAAATTTCTTCATTTCCTATCATATATTTTTAAATGGGCATTCAGGGTATGCAAACATAAGTATTTTTAAACTTTATTTTGAGAGAAACGTAAGCACAGGACATAGAGGAACAGCTCTGCTGTGCGCTCCCGCCGTGTATATCATGCGCTCAGCCGTGTCTGCCTCTTTACGACTCCTCTGCCCATGGAACTTTCCAGGCAGTAACACTGGACTGGGTTGCCATTTCCTCCTCCAGGGTATCTTCCCCGGCCTAGGGATCAAGCCTGCGTCTCCTGTGTTTTATTTTACCAAATGGATCATAAGGCCTTTCCTTACTGTGGCTTTTACTGTTCCTTTTGTTAAAAAGTTTATTTTTGACTTGTTACCAGAATTCTCAGTGAAGCATTGCAAACAGTCATATGTCTCCCAGGGCACTATTTTTTTTCTTCTTTTCCAGAAGAGAAAGACCCCCAGTGTTATAAGGATGTGTTAAGTCAAAGCACTGTTCCTCCTGCTGACATCAGTAATCCCATATGCAAAGTTCAGACATGAAAAGGGGCAGTAAAGAACCTGCGACTATAGAGAGAGCTGTGTGGGCACTGCATATACCTCTCAAGTACTAGCCTCTGGCTTTACCATTGGCATTTAAGAGAAGAATGAGCTCTTAAAGTAAGTGTGGGCCAGGTCCTAAGGCAGCTATCCCACCCTGGATTTAATATATTCAACAAGAACATAAAAAACATATGGTGTGACTAAAAGTGAACTTAAACATTCATTCCTACCCTTCCAGCTTCCTTGACTTAGTCTCCCTTCACAGCTACAAAATTATTCCCAGAAGATGGTAAAACTGGACCAGAAACACACAAACAGTTCTTTTTCTTTTCATGGCAAATAAAATACTCTGTAAAATGTTTAACTCCTTGTTTTTGAAAACACAAAAGGGTCTATCTAAGTGTATACACTTGCAGATATTCACCATTTTTATATGTAGCAAATATACAGAGAATACAGTTAACACATACAAAGGGCATGAGAAAAGCTCAGGACAAACACTTCTGTCTGGCTGGGTCAGCAGAGCTTTGAAACAATCCCCTGAAACTTCCCTATGCTGACCTGCCTCCAAGGGGGCGGTGCCTGGCCACAGTGCCGCTCATTTACTCTCTTAGGTTATTCGGATGGAAATGTTCTAAGACTTTGTGCAGTGAGTTCTGCTGAGGTGAACTTAGACTCACAGATGGTAGATATATTTTCTAAAATTTAGATATCTTCTTTAACATGATGGTTTACATGTAGATAATTATATGACTAATGATATTATAAAATGAACCATGAATAAGTACAATGTAACCAACAGCACCAGTATTATATAGGGTATATTTAATAAGGTTAAACTCGATTTGCAGTTTTTCCCATAGTAATATGTAATTCTAATCTTTTAGTTCAAACATATATTTTAAAACCGCTTCTTTAGAGGGAAGCAAGCCCTCTGCTCACCATCCCACTTCTCCCCACATCTGATGGGAGGCGAGAACCGCCACATTCACAGTCACACTGACTCCATTTAAATAATCACTTGCTCACTGACGCTTGTAACAATTTGTCACACTACACAGGAGAACTTGTTTTTTGGCCTAGCACACTGTCTACAGGACAACTGTCTGAATTCAGCAAAGAACATGCTGGAATGCCGGTTGCATGAGCTGCTAACTGAGGTTCCTAAAACACCACTGGCCATCATTTGTACTATCTGTATTGTATCCAAAAAGTGTCCATGGTTGGAGAAAATGTTTTTCTGTTATTACTGGTAATTTATCTCCATGGGCCCAAACCAGAAAGACTGAGGTGGTGATGATCCAAGCCATTTCTGGCCCACCTCTCAGTTCAGTCGCTCAGTAGTGTCTAACTCTTGGCGACCCCATGGACAAGTCTAGACAAGCGCAAATCTAGAGAAGTCAAGTGTACACCTTCAGACCACAACTCCTGTCAGGAGCTGCACTGTAATTGTGGGCTCCTCTGTCATTCCCAAGTCCCTCAGAGACTGTAAGGCAGTTAAGCAGATTCACCTGTATCCATCAATAGACACACAGTAAATGCTAAATCATCAATATTCCTTGGATATGCTGGATGATTACTTTCTATCAGGTAGCACTTGACTTAATAAAGCTGAAATCAAATCATATAAATGGGTAGAGGAAAATTTGATAAATGCTTAAATTATTAAAAATTCAATATTTCAAAATGCACAATGCAATAAAAAATATACTACTACTGGCCCATACAAAAGACCATGAGGATAAATGGCCTTTCATTGAACATTTCCTCTGTACGAAATAACAAATAGCTGAATTATCTGAATAATAATAACAATAAAAAGAAACCCTCTCTGTGAATCTCCATTAAATTGGTTACTACTCAGGAATACATAAATCTTCTTAGGCAGGGCATCTATTTGTTGTTGGTTATTTTTGTGGCTCTAGGTCCAAAGGAAAAAAAGGAAAAATGAGTGCTGCTAATAGTGGGGAAAATTTATTGTGCAGTTTGAATGCTCTAAAGTAATTTTATTTCAGCAAGCCAGACAAAACACATAATGTCATAACCCAAATACACCATTACCTGGGACGGTGCTGGGAAGGAAAGGGAAAGCTTCTAGCTCAAGCTTTTCACCTTTCATCTTAAATGTGAGAACATCCACCTCGCTGGGTTGAATGACTGCTTAACATCAGGAAGGGCTATTTATTTATTTGAAAAGTTTCATTTTCACCAATAGTTTCCATTTTTTCCTCTTCCATAAACTTTTAAGGAGAAGTGATCAGGAATGGCACTGTTAAATTAGGCCCTAGAAACCAACAAATGCTAGACGCTCAGTGGGATGCAAGCCCAGTCTCTAGCCGTCTGTCCTTCCTGATCAAGAGACAACAGCTCCTGGGGCGGCCTTTCAAAGATGGAGAGGTCAGAAAGGTGGCGGAAGGCAGAGGAAATGAAAAAAGGTTAATAAGTGGGAGTCCAGCTTCTGACTCCATGAGGTTTTCCTAACACATCATAAAGCACTGCAGGACACACAGTTGGCTACGCAAAGCTCCAGATTAACTACAGGGGGGAATCCTACCCAAAACGTAGGTGTCAGAAAAAGTTAACAGGTCAGGTGAAATACATCAGCATTTTCTCATTTAAAGAGCAGTGTTCATCATCCCTGGATACTTAGGTGGATTTTAAGGAGGTGGTTCAGGACCTAAGGGGTCTAAGAATGTAGAACATGTGCACAGTTTTAGACATTCTTGTTACTTCCATAAACGGCTAGAACACTCTTAGTCCACTAATCAGATGAGATTCGCTAAGAATGCAATTATTGAGATCATGGAGTATTTTGAAAAAATTAAGTGTCATGAAAAATTTAAAACAAATTGTTAAAAAATGCATGATTTCTCAACAGAGCAGTCTACAAATAGCACTTTAACAACAACTATTTTCATGCATACATTTAAAGGTGAGTTTCCCTAAATGGAAAAAAAAAAAAAAAAAAAGAACAAAACCCTCTTTCAAATACCACCTTGTCCTACCCTTCAATCATTTCCTTTGAGATATGAATTTTAATGCTTATCTCCACCGCCAGCAAACAGAGACTACAGACTTTGTCATGGGATCTTCCAATAATGTCCAAAAATAAAGAGAGCTTAGTGTATGTAAATACTTTGCAAGCAATCTCCAATGACACTTGAAATACATCCACATATCACACAAACACAATGAATAAAATAATTTACATAAAATCTAATGTTCCTAAGACTTAATAGATGGAGCAAGTAACCAAGAGAAGCAGTATTTCCCCCCTTTTCACCAAATGATCTGACTGCTCAGGTTGCTTCTACACTCTCAGTGGTGCAAACCAGAGAGGAGAAAAGGGGATGGGGAGGGCAGCCCTCAGAAGCAGGGAGATGCCAAGGTTACCTGTTGAGCTGTTCACCATATTGGGCGTCATGCTGTAGGGGGGCGCCTGGGTGTTCATCAGCCCAGAGCTGTTGTTCATGGGCTGGCTGTAGGGCGAGCTGGAAGCCATGAGTCCACTCTGATTCATGCCGGGAAAGCCGCCTTGCCTACATGAAGAGAAAGCACATGCATCCGTATACTGACCATGCACAGGAGCCACAGTTTACCCGGCAGTCATTATGTAAGGGGTGGGGCCGTTATTTTTCTTCTTGCCTTGAAACAGTTTATTTCCTGAAGCAAAAGGCTGAACTCTACTGCTAAGTAATTATTTAACGCACTATGTAAAAATTCCAAATAATATAAGTTCCACAAATAATCATGTCAGGTGTTCCAGGTTATAATTTATAGAGGAATATGAACAGGAAAGGGGGAACTTGAAATAAGAACAGGAATTACAAAAGCAAGCAAAATTAATTTCTAATATTTAAAAAGATTTGACTCTTCATTAACATGACTGAATACCCTTGCATCAAAAACCAAAAGTCAAGAAATAAAAAGCAGATGGGCAGTGTGAAAATGTTGTTAAAAAATTTTTTTCTTTGACCTAAATTTTCTGATATAATGAATACTGGAGAAAGAAATTCCAAAACTCCCTTTAACATTGTGCAATTAGGTACTATTAAAAACACATCAATTTCCCTATGTTAAAATTACACAGTAAACATCAGACTTCTACTTCTTTTTGTAGAACTTCAAGATTGCCAGGAGAAATATCAACAACCTCAGATATGCAGATGATACCACTCTAATGCAGAAAGTGAAGAGGAACTAAAGAGCCTCTTGATGAGGGTGAAAGAGGAGAGGCAAAAAGCTGGCTTAAAATTCAACATTCAAAAACTAAGATCATGGCATCTGGTCCTACAATGGGTTTGAAAAAGTGGAAGCAGTGACAGATTTTATTTTCGTGGACTTCAGAATCACTGCAGATGGTGACTGCAGCCCTAATATTAAAAGACCCTTGCTCTTTGCAAGGAAAGTTATGACTAACCTAGACAGCGTTAAAAAGCAGAGACATCACTTTGCCAACAAAGGTCCGTCTGTATAGTCAGAGCTATAGTTTTTCCAGTAGTCATGTACGGATGTGAGAGTTGGACCATAAAAAGGCTGAGTGCTGAAGAACTGATGCTATTGAATTGTGGCGCTGGAGAAGACCCTTGAGAGTCCCTTGGACTGCAAGAAGATCAAACCAGTCACTCCTAAAGGAAATCAGTCTTGAATATTTATTGGAAGGACTGAAGCTGAAGCTCCAATACTGCATTCACCTGAGGCAAAGAGCTGACTCACTGGAAAAGACCCTGATGCAGGGAAAGATTGAAGGCAGGAGGAGGACGCAGCCACCGAGGATGAGACAGTTGGATGGCATCAATGACTCAGTGGACATGGGTTTGAGCAAACTCTAGGAGATAGTGAAGGACAGGGAAGCCTGGCGTGCTGCAGAGTCCATGGGGTTGCAAAGAGTTAAACATGACATGTTGTGACTGAACAACAACAACAAAGGAGTTTTTATACTGGAGACAAGCGACCCAAGAGGCTCCCAGTCAACCCTCCCCCCACTGTTGTGCAGACTCATTTTTATAGTGACTTAGTTTTGTGCCTATGCTCTGAGAAAGACAACCTTCTCTTAAATCCTGCAAAGAGGAAAAGGGTATTCTTTGAACCGAAGGAGACAACTGTCACAAAATGTCATTCCTCTAACTGCTGGTAATGAGACAGGGGAAGGTAGGAGGAGAGGTTTGAACAGCACGGTGGTTTAATTTTCCCAGAAAAATTATGATACAGAAAGAAAGATAATGGCAATACTGCAAAATCTTGCAAAGACTCCACTGTTGGTAGTCAAGCTTTTCTTATGTAAATAGTACACTTAAAAAAAAAAAACTTATCAAAGGTTTGGCTACTAACATTTACTCTTAGGAGTAAAGCTGATAGGAGGGCTAAAAATGCAGAGAGTGAAAAAGCTGGCTTAAAACTCAACATTCAAAAACACAAAGATCATGGCATCTGGTCCCATCACTTCATGGCAAATAGATGGGGAAACAATGGAAACAGTGACAGATTTTATTTTCTTGGGCTCCAAAATCACTGCAGATGATGACTACAGCCATGAAATTAAAAGACACTTGCTCCTTGGAAGAAAAGTTATGACCAACCTAGACAGCATATTAAAAAGCAGAGACATTACTTTGCCGACAAAGGCCCATACAGTCAAAGCTATGGTTTTTCCAATAGTCATGCAAGGTTGTGAGAGTTGGACCATAAAGAAAGTTGAGCGCCAAAGAATTGATGCTTCTGAACTATGGTGTTGGAGAAGACTCTTGAAAGTCCCTTGGACTGAAAGGAGATCCAACCAGTACATCCTAAAGGAAATCAGTCCTGAATATTCACTGGAAGGACTGATGCTGAAGCTCCAACACTTTGGCCACCTGATGCGAAGAACTGACTCACTGGAAAAGACCCTGACGCTGGGAAAGATTGAAGGTGGGAGGGGAAGAGCACGAGAGAATGAGATGGTTGGATGGCGTCACTGACTCGATGGACATGAGTTTGAGCAAGCCCTGGGAGTTGGTGATGGACAGGGAAGCCTGTCAGGCTGCAGTCTATGGTGTCGCAAAGAGTTGGACATGACTGAGCAACTGAACTGAACTGAAAAATGCAGATACCTGGCTTATCTGTTCCAAATTATGATTACAACTCCCTCCACCTCCATTAAACTGCCATTTAGTGGTTCTTAATGCATAACAGCAGAAAAAAAAAACATTTAAGAGATTACTTAAGAAATTAATATAGGTCATTAAAAAATACTATTCTTTAAGTGCAGCTATTTTCAGTGGATTCAACTTTCTGTTTGGTAGAAGTTCAAACTTGGTCTAGCTGGATATTCAAAGTATCAAGGATTTGAGTTGAGTGGTTTTTTCTTTTAAATATTATATCAACCATTCAGAGAAATTCTACACAAACTAACACTTATGATGGTTTGGAAGGAATATTCTAGACAGCTGAAAGGCTAATGTGAGTGTGGCTCTGGGAGGAAGGAGTGTTATTTCTGCCTTGAATTCTCAGCTCACCTAAGTCCCCCTCTGAATAACTGAAGATGGTAGGGATTAGACTGCAGGTCATTATAATGTGTCTAAGATCACCCAGTGGTTTCCAATTCATCTCTAAGTCATCAAATACTTATAAATACACTGCTCAGAAGCTATGAACATATCCCAATATGGTCAGGGTTTTAAACATCAACAATGTAGACTACTGGCATTAACTCTAGTATCTTTGGTTCTTTTCTAAGGTGTTTTCTTTCAACATGACAATTTAGCATTTACGTAACTGTTTCACAAGAAAACAAGTAGCACCTATTGGGATCATTCTCTCTTAGCTGATAAACCAGATGAAAAACATCCTTGATTTATGAACAGGCTGTGTTTTCTGGAGACTACTTCCAACTCAGAGACTGCTTTCAAGTTTCAGCCAACTTCAAAATACAGGTTTAGGGGTCACCTCTACAAAGGCCCTCCTTATTCCCTGATCTGGAAGCTCTGCCTTCTCCAGACTCTGTGCCTTTTTATAGCTTTATAGCTTCTGCACTTTCCTTTGTATATTAACATAATTTAGGTTCATGTCTTGGCTCTTCTAATGTATGCGTTTTGAGAAGTACAAATGAGCACATCACAGCTACTAAAAAGTATCTGTTAAATGAATGAATTGATAGAAAACGTTTTTATCATTGTGAATGGGCATTTGGATAGATGACCACCTTTTCAAGCTTCCACCAAATTCAGTTTCACATTTGGTGAAACTAACATGTGTATGAAACTCACAGTTCCTTAACCATACTTGTTTACAACTGAGGTGGAAAAAAAAGAATCAGAGTATAAAATCCACCAGGCAGATGGTTAAATTAAGTAACCTCAAAGGCCCAATTCTAATCTATTATTTCTCCCCCAAGTCTGCATCTTCAATCACCATAAGATGATGAAAGTGCACATAACAGGTTTTAAAAATAACAAAAAGTTTAAGATTTAAAGGTCCGTGCAGTGGATGTCAGCTGCTGGTTACAATGGTCCTCAATGAAACTATGCCTCTGGCTTTAAAAGTCAGACTGAAAAGCCAGGGCTCTTGACTCTGTCACTAGTGACACTATCCACTGTCACTGGGATCCAGGAGGAAAGCTCTCAGTCCAGCTGTTACACATAAACATGGAGGAACTGATAATGATGATAAATATTAATAATTTATTAAGTACTGACAAATATGCCCAACATGATTTCTAGGTACTTTATACATGGAATTTTTTAAGTTCCTGGAGGAAAGGAGGTAGCATTATTGTCACACACAGAGCAAGAAAATAAGGATCAGAAAGATTAAACAACTTGCCTGAAGACACACAGCTAGTAAGTGGCAGAAGGAGAAGCCCCTAAGCCTGCTCACAGACCAGTATACTATATATCGTCTCTCAGGTCCCCCTGGCACAGCAGACTCTCCATGGCACAAGGCAGCCTGCCATGTACCTTCCTTGTGTGTACCACACTTCTATTTTGTTGTATTGCTGCTGTTGTTATTCAGTCGCTCAGCAGTGTCCAACTCTTTGTGACCCCATGGACTTGTAGAACTCCAGGCTTCCTTGTCCTTCCTTTACTATCTCCTGGAGTTTGCTCAAACTCATGTCCATTGAGTCGGTGATGCCATTTAACCATCTCATCCTCTGCCGCCCTCTTCTGTTGTAGGAAGGGACAAATCAGAGCAGTGCTTTTCTCTGGGTTCCTGGAGGGCTCACTCAGTGAGGTGGACACAGCAAGAGGTGGTGGAAGTGGACAGATCAACCCCTGGACACTGACCTTGAGGAAGGCACTTATCCTGGGAGCTACAGGCCTCCTGGGTGGTATCCAAGCAGGAAGGAGCTGAGAAGGAAACGAGCCCTCCCAGGAGAGCAGGGCATTCGTGCTCACGAGCACACACTTGGCCACCTGTCTAAGTGGGGGAGAGAGCCAGTCTATCATCATCACAGAAGAAACCCTATTCATGACTACTCTGGAAACCACTGCCAAGACTATTGGTAATTTTGAACAAGCAAAATGGGCTTTATGCTAAAAAAGAGCTTTCAATGGCCTCTGTT